ATTCCCAAAGGAGTTGCACCTAAAATGTTAATTAGCAAGGCCCGAAAATTCCGACTCAACGTCGGCAAGAGGAAACTGAATTACCTTCAGGTGGATCAAGACCAACATAGAAGTCCCCGTCAGCCGTCTGGTACGTCATCTTGGAGTCTCTTGCTTGTCTGGTCTCATTTGCGTAATGCTGAACAAAGAAATCCCATCGAATTGGATCGTACTCGGAAGCCAAAACATGCAATGCAGGAACTTGCATCTCGATATCATCTCCATGATCCTCTCCAGCATCAATAAGCAAGACTGAGTGACCTGCTAGAGCAAGTCTTGCGGCCACAGGAGCACCTCCTGGTCCACTTCCTACTACAACATACTCATAGGGATCGAGAGTAATGTTCGCAGACGCAGAACTCGAGGTAGCGTTCGTGGCACGTTGGTGAAGATGTTGATGTGAATGTTGTGACTTGCTACAAACGTGTTAGTCAACTACAAGAGAACGTTTGCGGAGGTTTCGGTAGTTACAATGCAGAAGCTGTAAGACTGAAAAGAGCGACAAGGCCCAAAGATCTTTTGGGAAACATGGTACCGCCAAATGATCAAATGAAACCAAAGAAAACAAAAACAATTGCCAAGGAATGGAGGAGTGACTGTGTGTGTGATGAGAGACTGTCCACAAAGCTGTGTTGAACTTTATATATTGTCGAGGCCCTCCACTGGACTACTTCTAATGGAACTGTATTCGCAATTTCTCACCCTTTCTCTTCATGATCGTTAATACAATCCTCTGAAGGGATCGCAATATAAAGGGAGGTGTGAAGATCATGACCAGGTGTTTGGATGGTGGAATACACAGTGTATCCTCACAATACCTTGAACCAGCAATCATGATGTTCATGAGGAATTCCCAATACGATTTTGGTAATGAAATTCATAAGTGGAGAAAGACATAGGGATGAAGCCTTCAATTTCCCACACCGGTAGAGATCTAAAATTTGTATACGAGATGCTTGTCTTTCCCCTCCCAAAACGTTTCCAGAAGTACATTTTCCCTGGAAACTTAGTTGCTACGCCCCGCAAAAGCTTGATTAGAGCTTGCATGGGACCCCAGACTCTTCAATTTTCGACCTCACTGATTAGAGTAATGATGTGCTAGTTCATTTGGGATGTAGATGCGAATTATACCCGTAATTACTAAAAGTCCCTTTTTGGCAAAATTTCTGGCAATCGCTGCAGATCTTCCTCTTTGACAGCTCAAACAATTGTCAAAATTTATTTCTGGGGGTCGAGAATAGGTCCAGGGAGTAAGCGAAATTTCCTAGCGCAAGGGGGGCTTAGTGTCGGAATATAAGTGTGATGTCAGTTAGTGGTGTGGTGCACATTAGTGCCTTGACGGAAATGGATTGACAAATCCAAGATGAATATTCGTAGAGCCTCAGCAATGGTAAAGCTCGTCTACAAAGAAGGTTTGGCCAAGACTGTCTACTCAAAACGACGAAACAAAATCCAGCCCCAAATGAAGAGATTGAAGATATCAAGGTATTGTTGAAAAATCAGATCTCGTGCTGTGGGATATAATTAGATATTTACATTACGTTTGCGTTACTCGGGGAGTCTCAAACCCAGTTCAAACGCTTGTGAATTAAAACAAATTTTGAAGGAAAATAATTCTGGAATATTTATCTCATAATGCACGCCGGCGTTTCATAAATAAACTCCCCAACCTTCTCTAATAACATAGCCATCCATGGAAGGGCCTTCAAACAGCGTTACAATGAGAACTGGTCAAGCACTTTGTGCTCGAAGTATCGACATCGTCAAGTGAAATGAAGTTATTCTTCTCGATCCTCTTCGGCGCTGAAGCTTTAGAGCTCATATATGATCTCTTGCCTGTCGTCCCCGCAGTTCTTTGAGTGCTAACTGCGGCAGTTGTCTGTAACTTCGGCATTATCATAGTCAGTAGAGGTCGTAATGCTGGCAAACACCCGCAGAATATGCCAACGTGCATTTCGAGAGTACTCCAATATGCCGCTGGACTGTATTCCCCTAAACCAATATTTAGTAAAGATAACCCAGAAGATGAGTGTTAAACTTACAGGTTATGTTTGTTGTATTGGCAAACTGAATGAGCGCATGAAGTCGTATGATGCTTACTGCAGTAACGCTGTTTATAATTAGCAAACAAGAAGTACAAAATAAATGAAGGAAGTCCTACAATAGTCCTAGAGCTTGGGGGCCTGTTAGCAAAATTCTGTAGACTGAGACGCAGATTCAAACTTACAGAACATGAACATAATAGTTATCTTTTTTGTTGGAGACATGACCAATTTGGAAAGTTTGTTCAGGGGCAGGCCAATGACTATAATATCCAAAACAATATTGAGAATAGAACTTAGCCATCCTTGGAGGTTGATATTGTTACAAGTTCCAGTATGCAAGCCATCCCATTGATTCCATCCATAGCTAATCGGCCAGCATTGAAAGATTGTTGCTGCCACAAAGCTAATACCATAGGCAACAGAAAGTCCGAGTGTGCCCCAAACATAATAGATGAAGGGCTTCTCGCGGAAAACTCGAAGGAAAAGAAGACAGAATGTAACTTTGGTCATCGCCATTGCGGAAAGATAGAAACATTCGCCGAGAAAATAGTACTGATTCACGTTAGCTCTTAGCCAATGACTTCTAGATCAGGTGTACAAACAAACAAAACATTTGTGATTTCATCAGCTGTCAGAGTCCACATATCTTTTCCGAGGCCATTGTTGGCCACTGTGATTTGTATTAGTATGATAACTGAAGCCCGTGAATGGTACTTACAAATGACTGAGAAAACAGTTGGAGGAGTTGCCAAAGCCTAGATTACATCAGCTGAGCTCGCACACTTTTAGGTCGAAAGCTGTAGACTAACCACAACAGCACACATCGACCAGTCATCCATACCCCATTGCCTTACTTTCAGAGCGGTGGCCAGCAACCGTCCAAAGAAGGCTAGCAAAGCAACACAACCTCCGATAACACCGATATACTCGCCGTCTTTTCTCCTATCTCGCACCGGCGCGCTACACATGGTCTCGGTAACATTTTTGGTTGCTTTGAAAGATTAGAGACAGCTCAGTGCAGGGAGTTTCTTCATTATTTCAACGGATCTAACTTACTGAAAAGTTCAAAAATAGTGCAGCTTTGCATCGCGCAGAGTGTGATGCTCTCTTGTAATTCAGCGTTTGTACAAAGACATATTATATCTGTCGCATCACATCCAGAGGTAGGAATAGCTTTTGCCATACATTTTAGCTAGAGGAGGCCGTCAGAGAAGCCAGCAAGAAACAAGACACTCAATGAAACTTACCGAGCAAGTCGGATATGATGCTTGGGCGGCCGCTAAAAGAGCGGCGGACGAACCCCTGGGGTTTAACGAGGACTGTGCTGTGCAAATCATGGTCAAACTGGCCATGACAGCCATGATATTAAGGGAGAACTTCATTTTGACTCCTTAGTACTTTTAGTTCGTACGAATATTAACGATAGTATTAACGATAGTAAAGTACGAAACAAAAAGAAGGAATTCAAAAAATCAAACAAAACTACAACGAACGCTACCGTAAACTTGGGAGAATCTGATCATGTATAAGTGCGTGTACTATAACCCTGCGAATATTAGACAGTATGCCACGCTCCAACAACCTTGAAGCGAGAATTTGCCAGCAAAGTGGAACGAATACTGATGTCAAAGTTTGTCGTTGATCGGCCCCGTAATTTTTTCTGCTTCTAGTCAGCGGTTATATCCCTTACCTGTCAAAATCCCCGACATGGTAAGTGAGTGAGTGGATTTTGGATAACTGTATCCGTAGTCTCGTGTCAAACCCTTGCGAAGATTCCATCCATGTTTCTTGGCAAGATACTGTCTTGGGAATTTTACCAATCGAGCAAGTACCGTGCTCATCCAGTCAGCGAAGAGTAGGCATTTGACCCAGCAGTGGTGTGGCATATTTCGAGAAGCTTGAACCACCCTACTCCATAGACGATTGTCTATCACAATCGGGGACGTCGAATGGCGACAGGTTATTACGAAACATTCGAGCTATCGACACGTTCAAATGGGGCCGTACTTCGTGGTGTATCGATAAATTCTCCGAAGTTCATTTAGAGGAACTGAAAACGGTTTGGAAAACGGTTCTTTCTTTCCATCGTGCCATGATCTACCAATATAAACTTTAAACTTTCGGTCAAACTTAGGTAGGTATGCTCCCAATTGGCATCGACATGGTTGGCTTTGACCGATAGATTTTCATCCATTTCATACCATCTTGGACTGAGCTCGGCTTTTGAGAGAATGGCAGTGAAAAGTTTTCCCGAGATTTGTGCCTTGCTCATTGCTCAGCCATGCGGTGGAAGCACAAGCCTGAGAGAGGTTGATGCTAGACAAGGAAGGTATCGTCCAATTGTTTGCTAAAGTTACATACTTCGTAGGGAGTGAGGAGTGAGGAGGAGGTAGGGAGTAGATAAACTTTCTACGGCTGCCAGCTGCCGTACGATAGTTGTTGAACTTGGAGGATATCAGTGTTTTACCAATTTACCAAATATGTGAGGTGAGTCAAGTTGATGGTGCTTCGAAAGTAAACAAATGGTGTTTTTATGATCATTGGGTGTGAATTTATCGGCGTTCGGTCATACTCACATGACTTTACCGCTTATCTTGGACACATTTTACTGTAGCCACACCCAATATTGCAAACCTAGGTCTTTCCTATTTTTCGAGTATACGTACCCAAGTAATGAATATCCTCAAACCCCATGACTGAAGCATTCAAAGACATTGGGGTATAATGCCCCTAGCTTCCCTATCTGTGGGATCAATCTTATAAAATTTGCTCCCCGAGTGAAAGATTACCTACTAGAGTAAACTAGGCCCTATGCTTGTTGACCTAATGCTTGTCAACGAGGGCACTGCCGATCACTTCAAAGTCTGTTGTCGATCCAAATACCGCTCAAGTGTCCCATCAAAGCCGGACGGAGTATTTGAGCAATTTAGATTCCCACTCTTGCTCGACTACCAGTACCGACCAGAATATAATGGATATCCGCGTACACATACCCTTGTTTCCCCGTTGTATTCTCCGGGTCAGACTGGCTATTCGAAGTTTCGAACGATGCCACTAGCCAGTGGAAAATATCCCATTTCAAAATATGTCATGAGTTTCTCATCTGACATCCAATTCTAAAAGATTTGTTACATTTCGTCGTGTCAATCGTTCCACCTCACAGTCACTCCTTTAACATCTGAAGATGAAGTTTTCGTCGTCCATTCTTTACTTTCCACTTTTGTGTACGAATGCCCTGGCATTTCCAACTCTAAATGCATCGCCCAAATCTTTTGAGAGAGCCTCAGGAAACAGCTGGTACGAGAATCTGAAGAGACAAGTTGAGAATCACCCAGAAGTCAAAAAAAGATTGTTGGTTGATTCTTTGACCACTCCCATTGATGGTAAAACCGCAAACCTATATTTCGATTTTTGATATCACTAACAGTAAGAAAGTCACTGGAGACCATGTATTTGTTCCACCTGACTTCGAAAATGGGGACCAGCGAGGTCCATGTCCAGGATTGAATATGCTCGCAAACCATAACTACATTCCCCATAATGGTGTCGCTTCAATGGTAGAAATCGTCGCTGGTGTAAATTCCGTATTCGGAATGGGAATTGAGCTTATCACTGTCCTGGCTATAATGGGGACCGTCGGTGTCGGCGACCCTATTTCACTGGACCCCGGGTTTTCGATTGGAGGCTACACTCCGAAGGTCGCTAACATCCTCGATAATCTTGATGGTCTTTTGGGAACTCCTCGTGGTCTTGACAGAGCCCACAATTGGATCGAAGCAGATTCCTCGAATACCCGAGACGACTTGTATGTAACAGGAGACGCATCGACAATGAACATGACTCTATTTTTACAAATTGCCAATGGATCCGACTCTGAAGTCATCACAATGGAAGATATTGGAAAACGTGCTGCCGACCGGCTCGAAGTCAGCATAGCCACCAACCCTTATTTTTACTACGGACCCTACACCGGCATGATTGCACGAAATGCTGGATATGCATTCTCTGGTCGCCTTTTGAGTAACCACACCACCGAGAACCCGGAAGGAATTATGACTCATGGATTAATGCGCACTATGTTCGGCGTCTACTCCGAGAACGGAGAATATGTATACAAGAAAGGCTGCGAGCAAATACCTTCGAATTGGTACCGCATCCCCGTTGACTACGGATTAGTACAACTTAACCTGGATATTGTTGCTTGGATGGCAGCAAACCCAACACTGGTAAGTGTTGGGGGCAATACCGGTAAAGTAAATACTTTCACTGGTCTTGATATCAGTAATGTCACCGGTGGCGTTCTCAATGTCGAGGCTTTGTTGGAGGGCAATAATTTGATGTGCTTTGCCCTTGAAGTTGTCAAGACATTCGGGCCCAATTCTCTTTCGCCTTTGTTTGCTACAATTGCTGTACCCTTGCAATTATTGACCGATGCTCTTGATACATCAATCTTGGCTCTTGCTGGGTGCCCAGTCTTTGCCGACTTAAGTATGGATGGAAAATCATTGTTTGAAGGACTTCAGGATACTTATCCAGGCGCTGCGAAAAGTGGTGTCGCATTCTAGGGGGTGGAAAGCTGTAATTTGGGGTTTGGTGCTTGGAAATCATTGTTAGTTATAATTTTAATAACTGCAGCATTGCATAACTGTTTTGTTCTTTTAGAAATGCAGTGCAATCTACCTCGTCCTTGGAGCTATAGAATTTCTTCAATGATCCAAAACGAGGCCTTGCAATCTGTTTTATATAAGCCTACTTATTCCACCTTGTGCTGTTCATAATGTTGTTGCAATGTACACGCCGACGAGGTAACACTATGCTTAGATGCATGTTTGTTCGAATCAGTTACACTGTAAGGCTGAGGTTGGATAAGCTGTAAGATTATCTTAGCCTTCACTTGGCTCGCGATCAGTATGGGACGAAAAGAACATATATAGGAGGAGAAATATCTTGAATCTAGCTTCATCATCAGCTAAATTTTCAGTTTCTTTTGATAAACCAAAAACTATTTCAAGTCTCCATCTTAAACTCCATTTCATCCTCTATCTGTGAACCCTAAATTCACAACTTACAACTACAAAAGTACCGTATTCTCGAAACACCATCTGACATCCTAGCAAAGCCACCAATGTGAGATCCACCACCCCCACCATCTCCATATTACTCTCCGGATTCTTCTCCGGCCTCACCATCGCAGATGGCAGCAACTGTAGCAGCATCTGCGCTCACATCAACGACCCCGGTCTCTGGACCGACACTCACGCTCTTCCGCCCAAGTAGATTACATCCTCACCAGCGGCGGTGGATGTGTAAAAGGCAGTGTACAAGGTCACATATGCATTGCGATTATTGTACCTGACGAAGATGCCAACACGATCGCGAAGCTATCACTGAAAAGACTATACATCGAGCTGCATCCACAAAGACTGCGCTCGCGCTCTCTGCTTGATCAACTACCGGGATGTAATCTCTTGGGATTTACATATTCGAACTGCTCGGCAATGCTCATCATCGATTTTTCGCTTGGACAGATTCAAAAAGTTGATCGATTCGGGGCGCGGAAATGCCAAGGCAAACGACTGTTTGTTGTGAATTCCGATATATTTGGGTCATTAGAACAACCTGCTGGTTACGCTCTGGTATATTCTTCTGGTTGATGCAAATCGAATCAACCCATGATCGTAGTGATTATGTTTCATCACGTAAATCCATCAAGGCAGCTGCCAAATTGCTAGTTATACAAAATTGATAGCCATCGATATAAATATTTTTGTTCCTTCGGATTCCCCCAACCATAGGAAAGTGTAGTATGTGTACTGTTGTAGATATCCATGTGCATTTCATGAGAAGTGGTGTGAATGACACTGCAACATATATCGGAGGGAGATTGTCCAGAATGGAGGGGTATAAGATGAATAGAGCTAGACGTTTCGAGATCTTCATGCTCATAGATATTGTTATTCATTTTTAGCAATTTCGAGATTTCGAAGTCTTTGAAGTGGTAATTGCTGTTGATGGATATCTCTATATCCACTTTTAAGGACGATTGCGATACTTGAAAATGTAAGGCTTATAACCTGAGATGACGATGCATGTAACCCTTCTACTAGGCGCAGACGAAAAAAGCGGCACACCAAATCGCTCGAATAAAGCCAAACATTGGACGAGGAATATTTTTAATGTGTACTTTATTAGATATTAATTTGAACTCAAGTATATATAATACATGATATACACTAGGTATATATCCATATACATACGTGTGTGTGTATTTGTAACATTGGAAAGTTTGGATGTCCCGGGGCTTCATCCTGTGAGAGTCAAGCTGGCTGTATCTTCTGCCTCTTAAGTCAAATCTCAGTCTAATGAGAAATCTCCTTCTTCAGAAACACAGCATTCCAATACCAGGCTTTTCCTGTTGGATCAAATTTTGGTCCAAATAAGTTTTCCACACTTTTGTAGACTTTGTAACCTCTTCTTTCATACCAATCTTGGTTGGAAAACTAGGTGAAGGTTAGAACAATGCAACTATCTCTTCCCGACAATTCATGATAACATTCTTACCGGGGGAATGACCAAGTCCAGAGCTTTGTATTTCTCTTCTCTTTCTGCGTCGACTTTGTTGATCGAATTTAAACCTAGAGTCTTGGCGCACAATGGTTCAGAAATGGCTATATTCTCGATTGTATCCATGGCTGTCTTTCCAAGTCCGGTTCCTTGAAGAGCACGCGAGACGTAAAAGATTGATATCCAGTAGAACCCTACTGTTTTTGGAACATATCCGAGATTCACATAATTTTCGGATGGAGGACCCAAACAGATATGTCCAATCGGAATGAAAGTTCTCTGCGGTGAGGGAATATCCCGAATTTTGCCTCCAAAAGAAGTTGCAGAGTCGACTAGAGGCTCTTTTTCTTGGGGATGCATCTCAGTATGTTTGAGTATTTTGGCATCCTTTTCGGGATCAGAATCCGCAAGCACCTGGATAAGTTAGAACTCGGAAAGTGAAATCGATTGTGGAAGAGTATTTACAATCCATTGATTATTGAGCTCTCCGCTTTCTTGAGCTTTCCTCCATGATTCAACACATTCAGAATCCCATCCGCAAGCGATACGTTGTTGTACTAGTCGTTCAACATGTTCAGGAGAGGTGGGATCCCAAGGGATCAGCACGATTTGAGGTTTTGAGGAGTTGGTGGGGTTGATTAAAGCCATCTTGAATATCTCAAATATTGCAGAATCGAAAGGGTAGATTACGGGTATAAATACTCTTAGAACTCTGGTAAGCCAATCGTTAGATCATATTCTGATACTCGAGGATGACAGATAGGTCAGGTTAGGAGATCGAAGACCGCTTGTTGAATGAACTACCAACGATGACAAGTAGTTTCCAACCAGGGGTGAAGGGCGTGAGAAGACATGAGGGATTTTGTTCAAGAATTTTCCCATTTAGACAAAAGTCTTTAGCTGGCTGCCGTTGCATCGAAATCTTAGACTTGTTCAATATTTATGGATATTTCGGATAAGTACCTAGGTATCTATCAGGATATCCCACTTCATAGTTTTCTTCTCCCTGTTCCTTGTGGAATCGCTCGCCGCTGAGCCGTTATTCACCCCACATCTAAAGCAGCCGAACTTAGCTAGCTTTGAAATATACATTCATATTTTTAAAAAAGTGCGGACATTCATCAAAATCAGCCAACATGGCTTGGAAGTGATCATGGCCTGATAGTTCAGTGGTAGAATTCTTGCTTTGGGTAGTTCAAATTCACATGTAAGAGGTCTCCGGTTCGATCCCGGATTAGGCCCTTCCTTTTTGGTTCATTCCCAGAATAGGTTCATTGTTTTGCAATTCTTTCAGAGGTGCCTCTTCTGAAGTATGAGGAGTTGCGTGAATATAGCATCAAGAGCGCTTTTGTGGGGAGGCAAATGTTTGCACCACTTTTCGCCGATAAGTTCTTGGCACTTTTGGGATAAATTTTTGCTTGGTCAGCAATTCCAAAAATCCATTAGTGGGTGTACGGACTTACGGGACACTCAAGCAGAAAGTCTTATAATTTCATACTAAAAAAAAGCGATTTTAATAATTCAATTAAAATTCAAGTTATGATTGACGTGGTTTAACACCGAGTGCACCATATCACCGAATGCACCACTTCAAAATACACCAAAATTAGCCTTTTCCTAATATTCATATTTTAATACTTAATCAATATTTTTTAAAAAACAAAAAAGATTTATTAATAAGAAAATATTTTTTATAAAAGTATTAAGTTTCTATATAAAAATTTCTATTATATTCTATAAAAAGTGGAAATTGTCACGATTTTCGTTACAAAAAAACTATTCCTATAATAACTACTATATTAATTCAAATTTTTAATAAATAATTAAATGTTACAATTTCAAATTTTGAAAAATTATATTATTAAATAAAGAAAGTGCACGGTTACGCACAGACGTATTTTGTATGTAAAATTCGTGGTGCACTCGGTGATATGGTGCACTCGGTGTTAAACCACGTTGAATCTTTTCGAAATTAATATATATAATTTTTAAATATAAGAATTCTATTTTTTTTTTATAGAAAAATAGATTAAAAAAAATATAAGTTTAAGCTTTTATAATTAATTATATAATTTCTTATCAAAATATTCGATAAGAAAATATATTATTGATTTTTTATGCTCAAACCTTTGTTTGCTTCAAATCGATATTTTAAATAATATTTTTTGATACTTGAAAAATATAATATATTTATTTGAATAATATTCAATTGGAATTGAAATCTCTATCGAATTTTGAAGTTGATTAATTGAGATGTGAAATTGTGCTTTGCTGTCACGCTGTCCCGTGAGTCCGTGTACCCACTGGTGATCCCAGAAATTGAAGAAATTCGCCCTTTTGCCCTTTGAAAGAGGCCTGCCTGTGTTGTGTGGCAGTACAACACACCTGTGGAATTTTACTATTCAATGTACATTTTGACGAGAGAAATCATGGGCGCTTTTTGTGTTCGTTTTTTGGGAGGGGGGGGGAATGAATGTCCTGAGTTCAATCACCTCATACAAATTAGGATCTATCTACCGTATTATTTATTGGCGTATGAATCTGCTCAACAGATTAGCAAAAACGAACAGGCACATTAATTCTTCGTGTTGAAATTATTTGAAGGCTAGTTAATCAATCAACATTAAGTAAAGGCAGCTTAAAAAGAGGGACATTGGAAATGTAATTTGATTGTGAAGTAGAAAATGAAACTATTCGCTTATCCATCAAAAATGAAGGGGTCCTTTCTTTCTACATCTTTAGTCTTAGATCATTGATTGAAATACAAATTCTTGATACATTTTTATAGAGATACCATTCAAAGCTAAACGCTACCAACAAACTGCTTAGCGCTTGGTAGATTCACTGACTCTAGCCCGGGATGCTTGAGTGCTCATCGATTTCTACAGGCTAAGGGTATGGCCTGATATAAGGAGGGTAAGTTGAGTAAGGTTGAATATGATGTACAAGTGGCATATTCAATATTTTTTACACTGTAAAGGGGATTCAACAGGAACTGCAGGGTTGCACCCTTTGATGCGGAGGTAGATGTGAAGGAGAGAGAGCATGACCAAGATGCTCTATACGATTAGGATACTATGGAAAACATTACGCGGATCAAGGTTGAAGGAGGATTAGGCCATCCTCACCATCATACTGAATATAGGCGTGTAACGTTCGAAACCAGTTCAATAGTCAAGATGATTTTGTCCTTTCATACTATCTGAACGTTCTTACCGTGTTTGCGAGTCGAAAGGATCTGGATGTCGAAGTAAAGTTTGGATTACTAGAAATTCTGCCGAGTTCTTCCCTCACAAGATCTGAAAGAAGTATAATATAGTCACATGAGAGCCGTTAATGAAATGTTCACCCAACTACATATAGATCCATCGTATTCACCAAGTATGTAATAATAATGATCTATGAAGTCAATCGGTTACAGCAGTTTGTGTTAAACTGCGTACAAATTATCTGTACTTGTGAATTATCTATAAATAATCCGCTCTATAGATTATTCATTAGAGGTTCTACTCACTTTACGAATTATCTATTAAGACTTTAAAATTACTTATTTTATATAGATAATCTATAGATTATTTATAAATATATAGGTTATTTATAGATAATTTGTAAATTATTTATAAATAATTTATAGATAACGTAACGTATGGGGAACTCGGACATATGGGGAACTCGGACACTTTTTCAATTATTCTACACGCGATCTTGTTCTACGAGCCACACAATCCTCCAATTCCAATTCCGAATCACTTGAACTATTCTCTAGCTCTTCTTCTTCAATCTCTTCTTCTGATTCTTCAATTGGGCGTTTGCGTGGCCGTCCTCGTGGCTTTTTCTCCTTCGGTTTTTCCTCCGCCTCACGTACCATTTTCAATACTTCCTTAGTACTAAAGACAAATTGACCTTGTAATTTGACTCTTTTGCCTTTAGTTCTTTTCTTTCGAGTCTCAATTACCTCCTGAGCATCAGAGAGCTGTTTCCGAAGTAGGGCTATCTCAGCATTTTGAGATTCTACAAGCCTAGTCATTCTCTTGGCATATCGACGAGTTGGCGATGCAGGAGAACCACTGCTTGCTAGAGCTGTATTAAAGATCTGATTTGCTTGCCTTAGTTCTGTTCCATCTGGAGGAGAACTCCTGAGTATAGACAAGTCTAGGTCTTGATTGGGGGTTCTCATTTGTGGAGTAGAAGGTTGCTGGGAGGAGTTAAATGGTAATGAATCGAGTACTTTTCGTGGGGCAAAAGGTACTAAACCAGCTCCTCTCCAGCCAGCTTTAATATTAGAAGAATTCAATGCTTTTTTTCTAATATTTTGAAAGAGTTCTACCCATTCAGCTCTTTGGATTCGCTTTACACCAGCTCGAGAATATCGATCGACCTCTAAAGCATGATATCGTTTCATTGGCCCATACACCGCAATATCAAGTGGCTGAAGCAAGTGAGAGCAATAAGGAGGTAATATAAGTAAATCAATATCATTATCTATACAGAAAGCAATAAAGCTACCTGTAATATGGCTTGAATGGCCATCCATGATCAAAAGTCGAGGTCGGTCACCTGACACTTTCTTGGATTCTGGTTCGAAAACCCTTTTTAACCATTCTAATCCATGGCTATTTGAGGTCCATCCATTTGTACTAGTAGAGAACTGCCAGCTTTGAGGTGTGTCCTTTGGAATCCATGCAGAATTCGTATTCTGAGCCTTGAAAATGACCATAGGTGATAGAGCATTTCCAGCTGCATTGACACATTCAAATGCAGTTATCCATTCTTGCTTGCCAGCTGTAACTTTCCAATTCGATTTCTGAGTAGAATCGACTTTAATGCGCGTACTTTGAGTACTTCCAACTCCAAATCCGGTTTCATCCATATTATACATATCATCTAATTCATACTTTCGCTCAATGAGACGCGTGCGAAACGCGTCAAACCAAGCCTGAATATTCTCCGGAGTTGCTTCTTTAGCCCGATTAGACTCTAATTGACGTGAATAGCATGTTTTAAGTTCTGGATGTCGTTTTTGGAATCTATAGATCCATTCGTGGCCTATAGGTGGAATTTCTGTCGAGGTAGGATTTCGAGATGACGCGACCCGAACGCGTCGAAGACGAATTTCGTCGGCCATTTCCTTCACCAACATAGGTGTAGCAGGGAATCCAGTGATGGTAAGTCGTGAAATCCATCGTACAAGAGTATTTTCTTCTGCGTTTGAAAGAATTTGAGCCATTTCGTGGGTTTGGGAACGTGTTTTCTTCCCAGCCAGCCTATCAGCTAGGGTAGACTTAGGGACTTCGAAATGCTCTGCAGCCTTTCTAATTGATTTAAATTCTTTCAATTGAAGTGAAATTATAGCCTTTTGAAGCTTCTCTTCAATTTGAGCAGATGTAGAAGGTGATTGGGTATGCATAATAAAAGTTATTGCGGTTTCAAGTTGGTGATGGGCTAAAAGTGTCCGAGTTCCCCATATGTCCGAGTTCCCCATACGTTACGTTATATAAATTCTCTAAAAAAAAGTAGAGATTCGCTTAAAATATAAAGCTATTCTCAAATTATTTTCTAGCCCAAAAGTAATCCAAGTTTAGATTTATACTAATTTTTATATTAATTATAAAATTATATTAATATTATAAAAGATTATAAATAGTTATATAATATATAAGTAGATGAATATCTATAGATAATTTATACTCATTTTATAAATTACCTATTCAGATTTTGAATTATTCGTGGATTATCTGTCAAGACTATTATCCGCCCTACGAGTACCCGTTGCGCAGCCTAGTTTGTGTAATGCGATCAAGGTCAAGATAGCAGCTTGTATTCTCAATAATGCTCATCAGTAGAGAAAGCGTCTTTGTTGCAAACTTGTGTCATCAAATGATGGGGGAACGATCTAATCTTTTTGCTGACAGGAATCTGAGATTAAAACGAAAGGGCAGAGCCATTAGGGAGCATGGTGGAATAGATCACAAAACTCTAGCCAGCGCAACGACCCTTCAAAGCATACAGTAACCGTATAGATCATTAACAAGCCCATTCCATGACAATACAACACTCGATATATCTTTGAGACTCTGAAAAAGAAAAGGGTAAACCAGTACCTTGAAGATGTGATTGCAGACTATTGTCAGAGGTGCTTCAAGATAGAGAGACGCTCGTGGTAAACCATCCCGGGGAGTTGGCCAACCTTCCTCTGGCAAGGGAGTCCCGAGATACATCGCAGCCCGAGAAGGAGCTCCGTAGATTTTCATCATCATAACCACTTGAGACAAACCGTTTTTGTTATCCCCACGATTGATGCACAGAGCATCTTTCCATAATTCGAATACCCTAGTCGGACGATGAATATGGTAACGTGCATCGCAAAGATTTGCTGTTACTGAAGATGAACGAACATCAACTCGGACTAGGTCTGATGTGTTCGCATCGATCCACACATCAAACAGCGCAATGAAGTGATTCACCATATCCGAGATACAATCAATCGATATGGTTTAGTATGATCGAGAATGCACTGTAACTCAACCGTCGCTCTAGGCTCGAGAACAAGAAGTCCAGGCAGAAGTACATTTTCCTGTTGATGGGATATTGTCTATTGCCTCCATTCCTAGTTGATCAAGCAATGACCAGAAGTAATTGGGACGTTGTTGTAAAGCTGCCAGTCATCAAAAGTATGATCAAGCAAAGATAATTCGATTGGCCGACCATTTGCGCTCCCTTGCTTTTCTACAGCGCCTTTACCAGTCTTTGATAGATAGCTGCTATGCTGCTGTGTGCTCTCATAAGTTCCAACATCGAGTTTCCTACATGCCAATGACCATCGTAAATGTAGCTCGATCACATATACCCTTGGACCAAAATCACGCCCTCGAAGTAAAGTTCTGGATCTTTTGACACTGAACACCGGCAAAGGGTAGATCACATCTCGAGAGACGTAGTAACACACTGTACATGCCTATGTTCCAAGATTAAGACGTGATGCTTCATCTGAGGAGGTGGTGAATAGAGATATCATCTACCTCTGGTGGTGTTTACCCAGGATTTGAAATACCAAGATTAATATAATAGTTCAACAGCATTTCTTTCAGAGTATTAAAAGAACATAATACTATGCCATGCCTAAGTACCTAGCTCAAGACTAAAAATTGCTTTTTTTGATGGAATCTGAAAATGTAATTTTGGGCCATTTTCGGGCAAAACCTGTCTGAGATTAGATAAATACCAATAAGTTATAGTTACAAGTAATTATAATTATTATTGCCTGAAGTTGATAAATTGATAGCGGCGTCAAACGGCGTTAGAACATTCCCCGCCCTCGCTTCCAGAGCTTTCTTTCTTTCTTTACTCATCCTCTTTTCTCCGGACCCAAACTCCGGAAAGTCATAACCACCATCACACCTAAATAACTTCGCCATCCATAAATAACAAAACCTAAACACAACCTCTCCATTTACCATCCATCACAATCGATCTTGATCAAAAAATATCACAACCATGGCCTTCACCATGCGCCAACCATTTAAATTGACCAGTTCGCTGGCTATAGCTTCCAAAAACGCCTTTAGATCCGCCCCCGCGCGAGCTTTTCATTCCAGCAAACCAACAACCAATTTTTTCACATCGCGCAGCACATCGCCAGTCAGCACACTAGTAAAAGCTAGAAATGCAGTTAAGGGCTCGAGAACTTATTTGCAGCAACCGGCCACTGTTGCGAATCCAAATGGAACGCTGATGCAGAAATTGTTGGTCGGCGGTGCGATGTTTGGAGGAACTTTGTTTGCAATCAATATGGTATGATACCTTCTTCCCTACTTCTTCTCCACATTCGCCATCTCTTTCATCTTCATACAAGTAGAAAATACCAACAAACCACAGGTCTTTAACCGCGAAACTCGTGAAGATGGCGGCATGCCCGAATACGAACGCAGTTACTTGAACGATACCTTTATGCACACAGGAATGGGAATTGGAATTATCGGGTTATCTGCGCGCGCCATGTTCCAAAGTGGCTTTACTTATAGACTGATGGCGACTAATCCTTGGGTTGTTATGATCGGTGGTATGGCACTCAGTATTGGTACTATGATGGGCACTAGAGCTACAGATCCTAGCAAGTGAGTTGTACCCCTCATTCGATATTGATATCTAGAATCGTGCGATAGATTTGAGTGAAGACAGGAAACTAACATGGAATAGCTATGTTCAAAAATACGCACTCTGGACCGGTTTCAACGTAACCCAAGCTGCATTCGTCGCACCCCTCCTCTTCATGGCCCCTCCTGCCATCATTGCCCGTGCTGGTCTCTACACCGTCGCCATGATGGGTAGTATTTCCTTCGTTGGCGCAACCGCCAAACAAGAAAAATATCTCTACCTTGGTGGACCTCTCTTGGCTGGTGTTGCTCTCGTCGCTGCTTCCGGATTGGCTCCCTTAGTTCTCCCAGCCACCGCAGTTAGAACATTGGCTTTTACCGAAAATATCTGGTTATGGGGAGGTTTGGCTGTCTTTGGTGGCTTCACACTCTATGATGTACAGAAGATTTTGGCACATGCTAGAATGGCTGAGAGAGGAATGATGAGAAGAGATGCGGTTAATGAGAGTATTTCATTGGAATTAGATTTCCTGAATATCTTCATTAGGATGGTCCAGATTTTGATGATGCAGCAAAACAGGAGGAAGTAGAGGAGGAGGAGTTGTACAATTTGATAGGTTGGGGTAAGGGGAATGGAATAAAGCAACGGCGCTGTAGGATTGCATGGTAAAGCAGACGGAGGTTGTCCTACAAAAACAGCTCTCCTCTTCAAGATTGGATGATAGTTACGAAAGTCTACGGACTTTTCTGCCATACACGCTTCTCCTCTCCTTTGTACGTGCGCACTTGATGCGTGTGCCATTAACATATATTAATAAAACAAAACAAAACAAAACAAATGTTAAAATAGTAAAATACCCATATCCAGTTAATTATTCATTCTTATTCTATCTTTGAAATTGAAGTGAGTTGAATGCTTATTAGAGTGATTCGAGTAGATCATTGATGGTTACCTAGGTACTAGGTAGGTACTTCTACTTTTACCATTGTAAATTCGTAGATTTGTAGATTCATAGAATCGGCACTCTCAATTAGCTACTAGGTACCTATCTCTCTCTGCATCACAACACGTCGTATAACATATCATCACATCAGCTCTCAAAAAATCTCAAAAATCTCAAAAATCCAAAAGTAACTTCGTACCCAACCAACTAGCCATATATCAGCATGCATAACTACCTTCCTACCTGCCTACCTGCTGAACAAACTCAAGACTAGATATGTAACTAGATAGGTGTAGATGGAGATAGGGAAATTCTCTACATACCTGGGTGCCTAGGTATGCTCTCATCTATTTATATCTTTATTCTATATCTTTATACACTAGCATTATATGATATCATTTCACCTCTCTCATCTCATCTCATCTCATCTCATCTCATCTCATCTCATCTCATCTCATCTCATCTCATCTCATCTCATATATAATTTCATTTCATCCTATACAACAAGATTAGATCCGATCACATCACAACAGATGTAGACCCGATATATCATATCAGATATAGAACTCCCCCCCTCCCGCTCTCCCGCCTTCTCATCCTATCCAACCCATCCATCCCATGCATCTTCTTGTCAACCATCCAACTCCTAATCCACAACCTACAGATTCCGTTTTCGTTTCCACAACGTTATACATACATCCATCCATACATACAAGAAACGAGAAACACAAAACACAAAAAAGTAAAAAAAATTCTAAAAACCACGCCGATCCGTTCATTCATCCATCGATACATACATACAAAACAAACGAATGAACATGCACCACCATCCACCAAAACAAAAACAAAAGAGACTTCTGGATTTGTCCTAACAAGCGATTCATGTGGATAAATTGAATAAAAACTCCGTCCATGCATGCAAATATGTCATATTCTCGAGAGTATGCATATGAAAATCAACATCGATGAAAAAATCCCACTCTTTCCTTTTCTCCATGTTCTGTTAAACCCTTTCTCGTCAAGATCCATCATCGTAAACCAACGTCCGGTCCACTCCTCTTCTCAACCCAAAAGACCAAATCTCCCCTCCCCTTCCGTACACTTAGATTTCTAGGCATCACCGCCCCCCTCAAGCCTCTCCTTCCTACAGTCTCTCTCCTCCCACTCTGACTCCATCTCGACTTCCATCTTTCGATTCCTCCTGCATCCAGCCACCCCTTTAAATTCTTACACTGACTAACGTCAAAGATCTCCAACTTACTACAACCTTCTACTACAGCTTCCACCCCTACCCCTGTAACTCTCACACATCCTCTTACAGAAAGTTCCTTGAGTTCGAGTAGATGGAGACCGATAGATCGAAGCGACGAATCTGAAACTGCTGAACCGCAAAATGAGAGTTTGAGGGATTGGAGTTGGGGACAACCGAGACTTAAAACTTCGGTTGCTGTATCGGAGAGGGCGCAACAGAATGACTAGATATGATTATTAGTGAAAATATTTTCGGGGGCCACGAAAGCTTAACATACCAAATCAAGTTCCTTCAACCCCTTCGCCGCATTCGTCAAATAAACAATAGCATTATCCGTCAAATAAGTACAATCCGCCAAAATTAGCTTTTCCAATTTTGCAAATTTATAAATACTCCAATGTTGAAATCCACTATCTGTAATCGTCGTACATCTCGTCAGATCAATACTCTGTAACCTCTGATGTGCATGAACAGCCAGATGCGCCATCGATCTATCAGTGACATGTTTACAATATGACAAAGTAAGACGTTTGAGCTTTGGACATCCGACTACAGTCCCAACCGGTGGGACGAAAGTTGCAGCTTTTTGACGAAGAGAGGCTTGAGGGGCAATGGGCTCGGTTACAACCCAACCGACGATACGGGCCAGAAGATTATCCGATACTTTGCGGCAATTAGAAAGGTCTATTTCTTCGAGCTCTTTAGCGCTGTTGGCCATTTCCAAGACGGCGTTGGCAGTTACGTCCCAAGCTGACTTCATTTTCCAGACTTGGATATTGGGGCCACATTGTGTGTAAATTGCAGCAAATCCTTCGTCAGTTATATGAAAACAGTTGCTGATGTTGATGCTACGGGCACGATGGCCAACAAATGGACAGATACATTCGACGAGTGCTTTGTTGGTCATTTTGCGGTTATAGAGTGATAGATCAAGATTCTGACAAACGTTTGGTGAGGTGCTTAGGAGAGTTGACCAATGGAGAGATACGAGACGTAATCTCATCAATTGATAAATGTCTAAATATGAGAATATGTTGATCAAAATTGCATCCGGTAATATACCCTGACTAAATTGACTTGGACGTCGTTCGAAAATCTTAGGTCTTTTTGGCCGAAAAGCTGATTCTGGGGGTGTGATTGCATGTGATAATTTTGCAGGTGTGGGTGTTTGAGATCTAGATCTGGTTCTTGGGCCAGAAGATCTATCATCTGGTGGTGGCGTCTCAGGAGCAGGCGGTGCCCACGAACCTCTTCGTGATCTCGCCCTCATATTGTCCATATCTACGCTGAGGAATGGATCTGGATCTATAGGTTCCATCACCCCACTATCCTCAACACGAATAGGTTTATGAGGACTTGCAGGTTTAGAAGGGGTAAATGTAACTTGTGGCAATGTTTTCCTTCTTTGATGTTTAGGTCGATTGTTATTGATGGTTAAATCATTGATAGTTGGAGATTCGGCATCACTCATTATGATGTCTTCGTCTTCGGGTTTTCCAATTCGAGTTTTCGCTGTCAGCTCTACTTGTTTCCGTATATCTGGCGAACATCTTCTCCACAACTCTTCAAGAACTTCTCCACCGATCATCAAACATTCCACAGAAGTGATTGATCGTACAGTAGCTGTTCTCCGGGGAGCCAAAGACAAACTGACAACTTCTCCAAAATATTGTCCAGCTTTCAGTCTTGGTCTGATGTATGATCCGTTTGTACCTTGAGGCGATAGTCCAGCGTGTCCATTGGAACTTTCATGTATAACTTCCGCCTCGCCTCTCACAATGAAGTAAATTTCATTGCCATTTGAACCTTGTACAATGATATCCGTAAACGGTGGGTATGCCTTCGGTGTGGCGCTCAACCCAAGAAAGTGAAGTATTTCTGGCGGTAAAGTTGAGAATAAAGGTAATTCCTTTAGTGTTTTCCTGACATTGACCAATCCACTGCCCAGCGCACTGCCAGCCGAAGGATCCTCAATTATACCTGGACTTGGGGATTTCCGCTTCTTCTTATTGATGACGACTCCCTTCTCAATGACTCCTACTTCTCCAGTAGAAACTTCCCCTGGCGCAGCTTCTCGTGCGATCTTGCCACCTCTCGAAACAAGCTCAGTAGAGACAAGTTTTGGGCCAAACCCGCCTTCCCTTCTTTTCTTATTCAAAATTGTCAATCGCTCCTGTGCTTCTTCCATAATCGCTTGTTCCATTTCAGGAAAGTTTGGAAGCTCAGCTCTCAAATCTTCCTTCTTCAACACCACCAATAAGCACTTTGTTCTTGCTATAATTGTAGCCGTCCGGGGTACATCCATCAGTATGCCAATCTCGCCAAAGAAAGCACCAGGCTTTAATTCTGCGTATGTAGCCTCTCCATCTCGAGATGTGACCGCCACCGCCCCACGTACTAACCAGTACATGGCTTTTGCATCATCTCCTTCAGTCAACACATGATCGTGAGGCGAATGAACCTGAGGACGAAGATGTTTTCCGATAGCTGCAAGAAAGGAATCGGGAGCTGAAACAAAAAGAGGAAAAGAGCGTATGCGATCAACGAGATCAAGTGGCATATCTGGAATTGTCGAAGCTGTGAGGGGAGAAGGTCGTACAGGCCGAGCGGGATTGGTTTCGATGTTGAATGATCGGATCAAGGATAACGAGTCTGGAATAGCTGCGCCATTGGCCCTGAAGGAGCCAGCACCCCGTCGACTCCTACTCATGATGTTGTGTGTGTATTTAGCAAGCTACGATCTCGCAGAAGCTCATGTGGGTACCTTGCGGCCTAGTGGCCGTCCTGCATATAGGTTTGCCAAATTGGGCAATATCAATATCAAGGATGATTGATTACTTGGAGAGATTATCGTTATGCGATTCGCAGGTTCACTGGTTTCGAATACCACACTCAAAGAGGGTTGGGGAATTCGTGGATTGTAGTTCAGGTTGGCAATGTTCTCGTGGAGGAGTTGCGATATGTACAAGAGATTTAATTCAAATTGAGAATTTCTTTGTCTGCAGATGATATAACGCGTAGAAGTATCGCCGGACAAGTCTGTGATGTATTTGGTCAGCTATTATATACATCGTTAACGGCATTGGATACCTCTATGTAAGGTAACCAAAAAGCTGGGCGGGCGGACGGCACCAGATGTTAGAATAGATGGCTTACTATTGCTTTCATAGGATCATATAACTGGAGGGGTAAGAAAAGTTACCTTTCTAAGATTTCTTTCTTTAATGAAGCTGACAGCGCACGAACAAGAAGGGAGAGTAGAACATGAGGTAAGAAATAGAAACAATCTACAATCACGGTGAAGGAAAGACAAGAGCAATAGGACTTTGAACGAAAGTATAATGCACGGAGCGCTCTATGATCGACGAGCTCTGAGATGGAAATGAAGCATGTATTTGGTTTGGCTCCTAGCACTCAAAGACCCTTTAATCACCAATAATTGAGGGGAATTCGATTCGATTCGACTGGAGAATTTCTAAGATGGGGATTTGGGTCACTCTCTTCTTCTTCTTCTTCTTCTTCTTTTTTGGTTCCCCTTTTCTCGCGAAAGACCCTTGATCAACGAGAAGGGATGACAACAGTGGGTGTATTGGTGTATGTATATGTATGTATGTATAAGTGTGTGGTTGGAGACAATAGGATTGAATAGTGATGATACTGGTAGTTTTTCCTGATTGCTCTCTTTTACCATTTGGTGGGCTGCTACGCGCTATGACGATTTCAATTCGCTTCTTTTTTTTCTTTCCAACCACTTTTATCAGGCCCTTCCGGGGGGGAGAGGGGGGGCTTACTAGGGACCTAGGTAGAGAGAGCATGATTACAGTCCATCGTCCATCGTCCATCGTAAAGTTATAAAGACTCCTTTGCTACGATGTCGACGTATCATGTATCATGTATCATGTATCGGACTAGGTAGACCAGAAGCAACGGATGCCCTGCAAAGAAATCAAGATGAACATATTTTCTGTTCGGAGAATTTCCTAATCTTAATTGAACCTAGTGTTTACCTGGGTACATAGGTAGATAGGTGGTAAGTAGATAGATAGATAGATAGATAGATAGATAGGTACCGGTATCTGTCTTCAATCCGAGGCCGATCTTCATAGAATAAAGGGAAATCAAAAGTCGAATGCTGCAATATCAATATCAAATTTGCCATTCTACCTAGGTACGATGTATTCTCCTATTGCAACCAGATCTAATCACTAGGTGCTCAGAAGTTATGTGGTTAGTGCCCATCTATCTAGTCGGTCGTCTCGTTGTAGATACAGTACCAGCTTCGCCTCTTCGCCTCTTCGCTTCTTCGTATAAAAACTCTTTCTACATGAATCATTTGGCCACTCAGACATACCCAGGCATCTTTTCTTTTTCTTTCTCCTCACCCTCAGTCAGTCAGTCTTCAGCTCTGTCGTTTTGTCATCATCCACAATCTCATCATTTCATCACCTCATAGGTTCAAAATCCGCCACGCGGTGAGAATGCCCAAGAAATGCATTCAGGGGTCTCTACACAAGCCAACCTAATAAGTATCCATGGCTTGTGTAAACTGTAAGCCCGAATCGCTTACCATGCATTCCTCTAACAAAAAATCAGATTGACTTCTTCCATCTCATCTTCTAGAAGCTCAAAGTCGGTTGTTCTTCAGCCTTACATATGTGATCTTACCATTACTCCTGCCGAGGCATGCTACCGGGAATCCATAGAATCCTACCAGATGATACCAAATACATTCTGCATTCTGAATATATTTCCAAGGAACTTTTTATGCATATATCAGGCAAAACAGATCAGAGATGGAATGAAATGAGAGGATATGACATTATTGTTATTCTCTCTCACTTGCATATGTCTAATATGATACTAGTTAGGTAAGATTACATGATATTACCCATAGTCGCTAATTAATAGGTGCTTCGGAGGAGACGACGACCTTTAAATAATCCATGCTGCATCAAAATCACCTATTTTTATGACGGATGTATTCTCAGCCGAAAAGGTGCTTGCTGGGTGCAACATCAGAGATAGACTTTTTCCCCATCATCTCCTTATATCATCAGATCTCAATCATAAGAACCGTTTTGATGTGATACTACTTGAAGATCATGTTCGCACGCGACGCGATATGTAACGTTCATCCATTCCTCATTCATTTCGCCCCCATCCAGCAGTCTCTCGATTTCCGGAAAGGGGGGACTTTGGTTATGTAAATCTATCTTTTTTCCTTTTGCAATCAACGTTATCTACAGAAAATACACGTCTATCATGTCTCAGAAAACCTGGCACATACATAGGTAAAAACCCCTTCCACACGAAAAGAAATGTTTCAAGCACTCTTGCACTCTCGTGACGAGAGTCTCGTCAAGCGAACGGTTTGTATCCTAATTAGTCTAGGACACCTTGTCAAAAATGAAAAGATATTAAAGGAGATCTGCAGGAACTCATGAGGGAAGTTCGATTCGGACCGTCCCTGATATAATGGGGATTATTGTCTCATTCACATTAACATCCGTTTCCGCGAACCTGCGTGCGGGACTCCAATCTATCGCTTCGTTTCATACACTTCGATATCTCTTCCATGCACGCTAATTTTCATTCTTACTACAGTAGTATCGTTTCACGGCATGAACACAAATGACCAAGCGGAAAGGTACTGCTGGAGTGGAGTCAAAAGAGGTATAACCGTCATAGCGAGATCGGAAGGAGGCATTTGGCATTTGGAATTCGGCATTGTGGCGCATCGGTAAGACTTGAGGTAGGTACGGAGTGGCTACAGTAGAAAGTTCTTCTTCTTCTCCTCCTTCTCCTCCTTCGAAGCGATGTGTAGGTTCCCGAGAGCGAAACGTGGTGTTCACACTTCAAAATGCGCATCGATCACCACCTTTAGTTTGGTGGTACAATATCCTGACGTATGTGGCCAGAGATGCAAAGAGCTTCTTTGAGCTTTCATCCTTACCTAGTAGTTCTAGTCTGTTAGAGATTGTAAAGCTTGTGCTCTTCCAGGTATTTTTGATTCCCCATTTGATCTCATCTGATCTTATCGTGATGGTCATTCTCAGATTCCGTCAGATCTCACAGAGATTCATTTACCGTCTCGACAGTCTCTTTGAAATCCGTCAGACTCCTATGGCGGTCAACCATAACAGGAAGGTTGCCACAAGATTTGGAATTATTGCGTGCTTGCACAGCTATCAGCGTGTGGAATCAGATTGAACTTTTCCAGCTCTCCTATTGGACAAAGTTGTGATTTGTCAGATTCAGTGAAGCTTGGGCCAGCTTTTTCTTATGGTTCAACCCCTCCATTGATCATGACGACTTGATACAATTGCCACTTCAGATTTCGCAGATTTCCTTATATTGATACTACTCTCTGCAATTGTCTTTGCGCATACCTATAGTACAAATCTTTTAAAAAATACCCATACCAGTGAATTCGAATAAACTCTTCCAAAGCCATCCATACTAGAGATCTTTATTATTATTAATCTCAAATCCTACAATCTGCCTTCCCAACCTATCTCTTTCAAACTTTTCCTCCTCCTCATTCTCCTCACCATAATGGCAGCCATGCCCAACTTCCTCAACCGTCTCATCCGGCCCTTCACATCCTCCTCCTCCCTCTCCGTCACCCCCGCCGCATCACAAGTATCCGTTCCTGAAACCGCGCAAAAATGTACCATTGCCGCAGGTTGTTTCTGGGGCGTCGAACACATGTATCGCAAAGAATTTAGCGGAAGAGGCTTGTACGATGCGCGTGTTGGATATATCGGAGGTGATACCGAGAACCCTAGTTATAGAGCCGTGTGTTCCGGTTCTACTGGACGTATGTTCTCTTCCCCTCATCTTTTTCTCTTGAAATAACTTTATGCTAATTCTCAACCTAGACGCAGAAGCCCTCCAAATTCACTACGATCCTGCACAAATCACCTACCGCCAATTGATAACTTATTTCTACCGCATGCACGATCCTACAACTGCAAATCAACAGGGTCCAGATAGAGGCTCGCAATATCGATCTGGAATCTTCTACCATAATGAAGAACAGGAGAAAGAAGCGCGGGAAATTACTAAGCAGGTTAACGAGCAGTGGTGGAAGGGAGGTGTGGTTACGGAAATTCTAAAGGCGGGAGAGTGGTGGGATGCGGAGGCGTATCATCAGAAGTATTTAGATAACAACCCGGGTGGATATGAATGTCCAAGTCATTTTGCGAGGAGATTCCCGCCGTTAGAGGATTAGTTTGTGATGAAGGAAAATTTGGGGGTTCAACATGATAGATGGTGGAAGATTGATGATTTGTGGGAGGAATACGGATTGAGTGTATTATACTGAAAGATTTTAATTTCGCAAGGCTACATACTACTTCGTTATCGCAAGAATGACTACCTTTTTTGAATATCTGTATTTTTATAAATAAATAAAAATTTGAATATGGTATCATGTATGTCAACTACAGTGTCGCGGGCATAATATTGATTTTAAAATTTATACCAGAACAAAACAAAATAAACCGCAACTCGCGTAAATCAAGGAGTGCGAGCGAGTAAAAATCTCATTCTTGGCTCGTCCCCTGAATTCAATATTTAATTATCTTATCGAATGAGTTTGAGGTGTGAGTTGCGAAGGGTAAAATGCTCGAACTCAGATATCGAAATGATACCTAGGTACTAGTATTTAGCAATTCGCACCAGAAGATATATGTAAAACTTTGAGGTTTTGGTTGTTGATTCCCTAGGTACTTTATTTTTGTTCTATGATCTGAGGAAATGGGATGGAACGGGATGAGATGGAATGGAATGGGAATATTAATTGATCTAAGATATCTCTCTCCCCCGCGAATGATGATATCTGGGTTTGCGTAGATCGTACGAGTAGATTGAATTGGCTTGATAACCTTGATAACTTTGAGATCTTCGAAAGTCGCCCTGAGAGAGCGTGTGTGTGTGTACCTAGGTGTTACTTACTTTCGCTTTTGCGGTGATTTGCTCGCTTACTTCGAAACCCCTACTTTCCTGGGGTAGAGATAGATAGGATACCTAGAGTTGAGTTTGTGGGAAGGTATTTTCAGCGCTGAGACGGGGACTTCTAGCACTTAGCTGGTAGATAAGTCTTGCACTTTCAAAGGAGTCTTGCACTTGAATATTTCAAGTGCATTCTGGGTTTTAGTGGGAAAGTTGTAATTGTATAACGGTGGTGTTGTAGGCTAAGGAATTGACCAGTGTTTGGATTGGAATCAAATGACTTGAAGTCACCTCGTTACACGATGAGGTAGATTTTCTATTCAAGGACTTTTGAATATTTCTAGTTTGTATTAGGATGCGCTGCTGCTTCGTAGCTTTTTGATTCATAAACCTATACGAACCACTCTCTTTGGTACCGCGAAGGACCACGGCAATCTCTATCACGCATCTTACTATTCTTGCTTCAACTTTGAGGAGTTCGTCTTCGGGGTCGTTGTCCTTGATACTCAAGTCTTGGATGCCATCGACTTCGGTGTTATCGATTAGTTTTTGATAATTCATAATGGAAGTTATTGCTTAGTAAATGATGTTTTTGAAGCTCCGTCGATAGAATTTTCTGGTTGGACTAGAAGAGTTGTAATGGGTCCAATGTAGGTCACTGCTCCGTACGAACTGGAACTACGCAAGAAGTAAGTATTCTTCCGTCAATTACTGTCGTGGACTCGAGCTCTGGGAATTTGTTATTGAGTATAACGGATTCTTTAACTTCCAATACAAGCGCGAAGTCCCCTCCCGGATTGTGTCTTGAATACATGTGAGCAGTCTTTGATCGAGTGAATGGTGAGGAAGGAAAGGAAGTAATGGGGTTGACAATTAGGTAGGCAATGATAGTGATAGTGGAGCACGCGGAGAGACGCTAATGCACACAGATAAGCCCTACAGAGTCTCCAATCACGTGCTACTTTCAGAATTATGTCCAAGCTTCTTGTCCAAAAAGATGAGAAACCTAAGGCAGCAAGCATAATATTGAGAGCTCTTTCCCTTCAAAGTAATTCGATAATTTTCGAACTCCCTATTCCCCAAATAACCAGATCTTACCGTTTTCTCACGAACCATGGATCCTGGACGAAGAGCCATGTTGGAAGGTCGCGCACCTCGGGAAAGAGATATCACATCTCCACGTCGCGACGATGCCAATCGAGTTTCAAAACCACAACGGCCGGCAGGCAACTCCAATTCTAGGCCTTATCGCAATAACCAAAGTCTCGAAGACGAACAATCGAAGAAATGGGTAGCAGAAGAGGATACTTTTGTTTTAAAGCAAGCAAAGAAGAAGGCAGATATTAGAGTTAGAGAAGGAAGAGCGAAACCAATTGACTGGTTGGCGGTCATTCTTCGAGTGATCGATCCCGATAAGGATCTCCTTGATGGCGACGAAGAAGAGGTTCAACTCGATGTTGTAGACCCAGAGGGTGTGTTTGAAGGGCTCGATGATGCGCAACTAGGAGAGCTGGAGACCGACATTAATTCTTACATCGCTTTGGAGAAGAACAAAAAGAATCAAGATTATTGGAAGACGATGCAAATCATCTGTCATGAGCGCCGTCAGAGATTAAAACCAGTCGGTCCTAATGAACGAGCTGTAAGCTCTGTTGCTGCAGACGTGGACAAATTACTAGGACCCAAAACGTATGAGCAGTTGGAAAGTTTGGAGGGACAGATTAGGGCAAAGCTTCGTTCGAACGAACCAATAGATACAGATTATTGGGAACAACTCTTGAAGAGTTTATTGATTTGGAAGGCGAAAGCTAAACTAAAGAAGGTTTACCAATCCGTGTTAGACACTCGGCTCGACGCCTTACGAAAAGAACAACAGGAGGAGGCAGAAAGTGTTCAAAAGAAGTTACAAGTACTATTGTCTGGCCCAACGCCAGTGGTTGAAGAGGGATCCGAAATACCGAAATCGATCGCCGCGCAAACATCTCGTCGTCAGCCTCACTTTGCCTACTCAGAGAAGCATGACCCAGAACCGTTACTCAAACTACGGACTGAAGACAAATCAGGCGAGATTATTGACGAATCTGATTTTCTCAAAAAGATCGTGGCCGAGCGTCGCAAAGTCTTGAAGCTAGGTTACGTGCCTTCACGTCCTCTTGGTCCAGAGAAGAGTATTCCAGGATCTATCAGCAAGCCCAGCACATCTGTCAACAATGCGCCTCCAGGTACACAGCGCTTTTCCGCTGTAGTCACTGAAGATTTCTCACAAGCTACAAAAGCATTGTACGATAGAGAGGTGGCAAGAGGGGTAAATGAGAATGAGGAAATCTTCACGGCGGAGGAAAGTCTTACAACGACTTCCGCTCCTCAATGGGCAGATAAATACCGGCCAAGGAAACCGCGTTATTTCAATCGAGTTCAAATGGGCTACGAGTGGAACAAATACAATCAAACTCATTACGATCACGACAACCCCCCTCCAAAAGTCGTTCAGGGCTACAAATTCAACATATTTTATCCCGATCTCATAGACAAAGCGAAGGCGCCAACATTTCGAATCATTCGGGAACATGGTCGAAAGAGAGGAGAATCATTTGCGCCTGCTGGAGAGGAAGATACTTGTCTACTTCGCTTCATAGCTGGACCTCCTTATGAGGACATTGCCTTCCGTATTGTTGATAAAGAATGGGACTATTCTGCGAAAAAAGATCGTGGCTTTCGCAGTACTTTTGACAAGGTATGTGTGTGGCTTTAATGTTCTGTTGTTCTCCATCTTGTCTACCCGTCATGCAGTGACAACCTCCAAACCTTACTTCTATTTCTGAAGCTTGTTCCTTGCTGACATGTTCACTAGGGTATTCTCCAATTACACTTTCAATTCAAAAAGGTCAGTACCAATCATAGTAAAACACAATGTTTCCACTTTTTACATGAAGCTAATTTGTCATTCAGATATACTACCGAAAATGATCACGATTCGCGAGTTTTCTGCTTGCCTCATTGTGGCACCAGAGTTTGGGAAGTATCAATTTGGTTGAGATTTTTCTTTAGCAATCACTGAGCTCACAAATAGACATCCCCAGATTTCTTCCACGTGTGCTATATCACACAAAGGAACTTTGTACTTCCGTCAAAAATGATACTGCGTACATGACGGCAACGATTCGATGCATGAGAGCAGCGTTAACACGGGAAATTGAAATGAGATCATCAAAAATATCTATACATGGAAGCATTAACACCGGAAAATACAATTGAGATTATGAACATCCTTTGTGTATCTGATGACCTTTCTTAAAAGCTTTAATAGTAATAATTTGGAACTATTGGCACAATTTATAGCAGTAATGGGATGGAATCTAACGGTTCACTAGACCTTTTTCTCAATGCACAGTAGCTGCGTTTTCAAACTTGACACAAAACTCCGGTTCGGCTTTCGTTCGTGGCTATCGTTAAGATTGCTGGTTGAGTAAGTCGAAACGGTTTTATGGGTGGCTGATTTCCACATAGTCTAGTTACTTCAAACAAAAACATCTCTGTGTTCCTTCTAGAATAAGAATCAAGAACAATTGAACCAGACAATTCTTTGTGATTGTGCCCGCTCGAGGCTGACGGTGAAACATTTGAATACTCTTCTAGGTTTAAATTCAAACAATGCCTCTCCTGGCACAATCTTTAGCGTTATGCAGTAGCCCGTTTTCCTCTCTTCCTGTATTACCTGGATATGCAGACCTACAGCCCACCTATTTACAGCAGAACAACAAGCGATTGCTATTATGAAAAGGTCATTGTAGAGCTCACACTGTTTTTGGAATGTTGCTGTCCGGGGAGCCTGTTTGCACACACGTCAAAGGCTTGCAGCCATGTGCTGGCATTCGCTCTCCTGCATTATGGCCTTGTCTTTTCAGGACTCTATACCCATCGTCACAAAGCTTTCAATGTTCCCACTGCTTCTTACGTTCTAGATTTCCTCTCTTGAATAACTACACCCGAAGTCCTTTGCTATCCCAGTTCTTTGAATTCTCCGAGAAGACAGACACTATCGTCTTACAATAGAGCAATCCATCTTAAGGGTAGCACTCCGTTCAATAGACACATCATCGGCAGCGAGGTTGAGTAGATTGTTTTCAGATGGTCCTCAATATGGATTCCGATCACTTTCAGCAGAACTCTCAACATCACGATTTGCCTTGGGACTTTCAAGCTTCGGAGAATATTGAAACAACTACACATTCGCAAGCTGATGCTATATTCCCATCATTTGATGGTCTACCTCGAATGGGTCAAGAGCAGTACTTCATGGCTAGTTCACCATCATCTCCTATGCCCAACAATGACTACAACCTTACTACGTCGCAAATGCCGGCCTCTCAAAACTTAACATCTTGGACCCATCAAGCGCCATTAACTTCTGTTTATGCGGATGACCAAAATGGTTACTCTTACGATTGTCCAGCTGATCTCTCTGGTCTTGAACAACAAAATTCTTTGAAAACTTTTGATAATGTTCCTCGAACTACCTGGCAACAACCTTATGCTAATATGGGCATGACCTTACCGGTATATCCTTTTATTACCCGCGACAATTTTGGATCTATGGTACCATCGAGAGCTGACCATGGCGAAAGATCCGACGATTGCGTCATGATGGATACCACACACAAGGCCATCAATTCTACATCTCCTTCAAGCTTATGCTCTGAAGAAGATGGACACAGCTCGCGTGAGCCTACTGCAATGGATGTGGACGCTGATGGTCATGGCGTAGATGAGCAACCATATGCAAAATTAATCTATCGAGCATTGATGAGTGCACCAGACCACTCTATGGTTCTACAAGAAATCTACCGTTGGTTCCGAGAAAACACTACTAAAGGGAGCTCGGATACCAAAGGTTGGATGAATAGCATTCGTCACAATCTATCAATGAACGCTGTAAGATTCCATGATCAAGTTTGCTTAGCGATACTGGGGCTAATATTCTCAATGGCAGGCATTCAAAAAGACAGAACGGAAAATTCCTGGAGAGGAAACGAAAAAGTCCACTGAGTGGGTTTTGGAAGATTTCGCAATCAGAGATGGAGTTCAGTCTACAACTCGGTATCGCAAAGGAACAGGCAACAAGAAATACGCAAAAGCAGAAAGTGCTCCAAGTCAAAACTATCTAGGCCGGCACAATTATAATGCGATCAGAAAGCCATCCTTTCACTCTGCTGGCAAGGGAAAGCTACAACGTCAAAGAGCCAGAGATGATTCAAGTTCAAGACGAATGCTCTCAACACCCTCCAGATCTGAACCGGCAAGATATCCAGGTAGCCAACTCCATTCCTCGGATGTGACTTCTGTTTCAAGATCCCCACGGCGGCTACCTTTAACGCCTGCCCCAGAGAGCTCCGGAACTTACAGCCCCGTCATCAAAGAGGAAAGCTACAATCCTGCATATGATCTCTACAGATTTGAGGATTGCCAAGGAGTGCTTCCCAATGACCAAGACCCGCTTTTTATGGACAGTCAAAATCCACAGTTCATGCAAGTTCATCCGATGTGCGCGAGCAACCAATACTAACCATGAAGATTTGTGAGAGGACAGAGTATCAAAGTGTTTGTTATGTATTGTAAGGGTGGCAGATCTGCTTTGATACATCGAATAGATGCACATTTCGTTTGCTATCAAAACATTGCATTGCTGGGGGTTCATTGTATGTACTGGGATCTAATGTTGCGGTTCCTTGTCTATTTGCTATAGCTTGTCTGGGGGATAATTGTCCAGGATCTCTAATTTCTTTGACCAACGGCATCAGCGGCAATATTCCATATATCATGAGCGTTTGTATGTAGGGGTATGCCAAAGTTGTTTATCATTGTGATGGGTCATATCCTTGGTGTTGTTCAAAAATTTGAAATGTTGTGTGATTTGCATGAGATATGAAGTCTTCATTCCGGGTAGTGGTTTCCACTCTACTCTGCATCGGTTATATGCTTATATATCATCAACTTCCCTGCAGTATCAAGTAGGATTGATCGGTATTGCCTCTCTGCATCTTTGATCTGCTCGAGCGCAGGGGATGTAGGGTTCGATTGCCTCAAAGTACACTCCTCAACAAGAATTCCCGTGATTAAAATGAGGTTGAAATGCATCACCCCACCGATATCCTGGGAAATTTGTTGGTTAGGTTCTATGCGGTGGCCCCGCGGCCGGATGAAAATGCGCGCCATCCATCGATCCAGTAAACCTATAAGCATGCAGCATACTCCACTATCTAAAGTCCAATAGACGGTCAATAGCATTGTTAGCGTTCAAAAGGACCTTGTCCCTGTCTGTATATTGTAACCACACCTTGCTTCGAAGTTGTTGAAAATGTCATCGAAATCCTTCTTCGTAGTGTATTATGTGTCTATCAAGATACATCTTTACCATTACCATGAGCCTATGCTAATAAGTGTACACTCCTTCGAGCACAGCATCTCCATCAAGAGTTCTTCATCTCGATTTCCAGCTCCAGGAACCGGGCTACTGGACTATGTCCTACGATGTGAATCCCTTGACAGAATTGAAAAACGATCTTTGTTACAACATCAGAAGGCTAAGAGCTCAACAATAGTACGCCTTCGAAAGCATATACACACCATTCAACATGCAGAATATCCACAATACGCCTCCCGTCTTAAATCGAGTTCTGTTTTCGATCAAACGAACGTTCCGAACTTTCTGGTGGTGGTGACAGGTATCAACGAAAGCCACCCGAGTAAGATACCGGTTTCGCTCTTGCCAGCATGCACTCAGACCGATCGGGAACACCGAAGAGGGATTGCTCGTGACTATCAGCGAAGAATAATCCTTTCGATGTCATTCAGAAATGTTTTGACGAAAGAAACAACGCGCCAAGTCCACATAATGGGCGTTGAGAAGGGAGGCGTGCAGAGGTAGCAGCCACAACGGCTTTCGATAATTGAAAAGCAGGGCAATTCCCGCGACTATCGGGCCCCTGAGGATTCTTTTCTTGCTCATTACAGGCATCAAGGTCTGAGCCGTTAAGATACAGCATACCCGTTTGCTCTATCCTGTCAGTAGGATTCGTTTCCTGTGCATGCACCCATCATGAGCGCAGACCTCAATATGATTGAAAATTGCCCTGACGCTCTGCATTTCTCTTCCGCAATATGACAGGAGCTTATTTCGGATCAACAGGCGACTCGGATCAGTTCCATTCATATTTATTTTTTTAACCATAGAAAGGTGGATCATTGATAGGGGATTGACGAGTATGTCGGCATATCAGCCGCCTCTGCATCGCATCACATCTCGCATTTGCCGGATGGTTCCGCTAGATCTACCCGTCAGATAGTGTGGCATAAAGAATGAGACATCGCTGCACCAAAACATACCGGAGATATACCAGTACCCGCTGTATCCACCCAAAACATACCACCCTGTTTCGTATAACGATGCGAGATAAGTCCCTTTTGAGTGCCGGACATTGAAAGAGATGAATGGGATGTGCTCCGAAAGCATGATAAGGATTTGTCAAAAGCAAACACTTGAACGATTTGACACATTAGAAGACCCACGAAGCTTAATTTAATACCTGCAAGAAATTTGGCTGCCTGTTTTCCTTTCAGTAGGTAGGCTCAGAACTATCTTGTCCATTGCTACACGCTCGCTACCAGTTACACAGAGTCGCAATACGTAACAAGCGAGCCCTTAAATGACGAGGACGACAGTAATATGATGAGAAAAGGCAGAGATGGAATACATTATGTCTGGCTAGTCACGTGAAAACACGCATTATCAATGCTTCGGACCTTTGTGGATTTTAATCTCCACCCTTTACTTTCAGTATTATCGTCCGAGGTTCCGAATAATCTCCAGAACCATAATAAATACAAGTGACACTTTCTCTGAGACCGACCATGGCCCGGTAGCATTGACTGGTAGATCTTCCGCAAGGGTACAGCTCACCGGTCGAAAGAACATATCGAGTTCCACCAATAATCAAGTGCAAAGAGAGCTCAAAACAAGGATGAAGCTTTCTTGTACCTGAAATATCAAAATGAACCAATATGATTTATTACAAATTATATTGGGGCTCCAAATTGATGCGGGGTTTCACCCATGTTTTCCTTTGATAATCTGGGGACGAGATTATCTCCATATTTTCTTGAAGATGGGATGAAATGACAGGCTCATGCTCCAATCATGAGCTCACCGTCTTCGTCACCGAACTCAAGTCAAGGGAACGAGTCCGGAGAAATAGAATCTCCATGATTCCCCTGAAAGCAATATGGAGGGTTTTCATGCTCAATTTAACTTGGAGCCAGGGCAATATATAAGTCCTACCAGACCCCGAGCATAGTGACGGAAACTGCCAAGCTACTTCTTCAATTCCTTGGGCAACTGAAATATCGGTTTCGTACTTCAAGATGCATTTCCAATTGACCTCCGCTCTTTCAATTGCTTCTGCTGCAGTTGCAGTTGCAAACCCTACATTCCAAGACGCTTCAAGGGATCAAGCGCTCGCTCGTAGAAATCAGCCAAAGCCCGCATCGGCAAGGCCAAACGTACAATGCCATCCCAAGACTCCACGTACACCTATACCATCTCCACCACCAAGAACGAAGACATGCTACGTCAAGAGTGCCGGCAATGGAACAGATGACTCTCCAGCCATTATGAGCGCCCTTCACGAGTGTAACAACGGTGGTCATGTAATTTTCAGTAAAGGTGTGACTTACTCGGTTGGCACAGCAATGGACTGGACTTTCCTTCAGCACATTGATCTCGGTATGTAATTCCTAATATTACGCTAATTGATGCTTTTTTTATGTATACTAATGACTATTGCAGACATTCAGGGTGAAATCCTCTTCTCAGACGATACAGATTATTGGCAAGCCAATGCCTTCCCATTCGTCTTCCAAAATGTTACCTCATTCTTCAAGCTTGGAGGAGAGGATGTTTTCATGTATGGTGGTGGTACCCTCAATGGTAATGGCCAAGTCTGGTACGATCTTTACGCCAAAGACATCTACACACTCAGACCAGTCCTTATCGGAATTGATGGACTCAAGGACTCTATCTTGAGTGATTTGGTTCTACGATATTCACCAGAATACTACAACTTCATTGCAAATTCAAGCAATGTTGTATACAACAATATCAACATTGCCGGTGGAAGCACGAGCAAGAATCCTGCAAAGAACACTGATGGATGGGATACATACAGAAGTGATAGCATTGTTATCCAGAACTCTGTCATCAACAATGGAGATGGTAAATACCCTTTCTTCCGGACTTTGAAACCTTGCTAATCAAATTCTAGATTGTGTGTCTTTCAAGCCCAACAGCACCAACATCTTAGTTCAAAACCTTTCCTGCACTGGTTCTCACGGAATTTCTGTTGGATCCCTCGGTCAATATCCTGGAGAATTTGATATCGTCGAAAACGTGTACGTCTACAACACCTCATTGCACAACGCCTCCGACGGTGCACGTATCAAGGTTTGGCCCAACACCGCATCAACTCTCAGTGGTGATCTCCAAGGTAAGAAGATCCCCCTATTCTCACCCACCGATTCCACAACTAACACACTCATAGGAGGCGGAGGATCTGGCAGAGTAAACAACATCACTTACGACACGATGTACATCGATAACGTTGATTACGCCATCGAAGTCGACCAATGCTACGGTCAAAAGAACCTCACCCTCTGTCTCGAATTCCCCTCTCCTCTTACCATCACCGATATCATTTTCAAAAACTTCACCGGAAAAACTAGCACTAAGTACCAGCCACAGATTGGTACATTTGCTTGTTCGAGCGAAGCCGTTTGTAACAATATTGTCGCGAGTGGCATCGACGTCTTGAGTCCTAAAGGTGTAAATGAGGCTTATTGTCTTAATGTTGATAAGACCGCGTTGGATGTTACTTGTACTACAAATTTCTTGGGGTTTAATTAGGTGGATGGAACTGGTGGCACCGAGTTGATGTACAGAGATAGTGTATAACTTATGATGCTATTTTAATCTTTTAATTATTTCTTCAAGATAAATTGGTCTTAATGTGTGAATTTTGTCTGCTGGGCGATGCGTTAATACCTATCTTGTCATACAAGTGTACAATTTCTATGAATCCCCTCTCATCTCACGTTTTTACATGTAACTTACATATATCGCTTCTCTCGTCGCACATCACACTATCCAACTTCAACTCTCATCCAAACTCACAAATCTACACACATCATTCAATCAACTCAATCAATTCAACTCCATCCCTCACAATACATTTCCACACTTCATACCCGACCTCAAATTTTTCTCCCAATCCCATCCTAAAATTCCTTTTCATCACTCTAAGTACCAATCTCATTATCTCATTCAAATAGAAACTCATATTTAAAGTTTTCTTTCCCGGCTCGTTTCATGTAAGGTTACTCCGAGCCCCTTTATCAATTAAGGTTTCGACTAAAGTTGTAATTGAAGTTTCATCGGACCTTGCGAACCTTGTATATTTATTAATATGCCCACAGAGCAAGGTGGACATAAAATTCTTATTTGGATTTGGTGGGATGTCTCGTCCGAAGTTAAAGTTTTGCGGGTTTCATGTTGATTCATGATATTTGTTTGTTTGTTTGTAATCTTTTGGGCTGTCTGGGTATCTATCTAGTCAAGGTGTGATAAGAGTATATATGTTGTGGAGATGCTGTATTACACTTTTGGGTAACTAGGTAGTTAGCTTTTTTCTTCATCTTTTTTTTTCGTTGTTTTTTTGGGTTCATCTGATGGAGGTTCTCAGGAATGTACCGGTAGATGCATTTGACGCTCCTCTCTATCGAAGAAAATGATTCGATATATTCTAACAGAGGAGCAAATACATATGCATTATATGCGTACCTATGCGTACTCGATAGCTTTAGATCCGCTTATCCTACTCGTATAGCACAACATGCATTGACTCACATGTAAATTCTTAAGAATGCATTGGAGCAGGGCTTGATACATTAGCATTATTTTTCACGCCTGCCATCACTGCAAAATATGCCATATTTCCTGGTGTCAGCTCAGCTTTTGCTCACCTCAAATCAAGCCCATTTGTAAACAATAAAGAACTTCAAAATTGGCTTTCTAGTGAAGATTTGTGGCGATGGAGTTCTTGGGATGTACAGGGGCTTTAAAAACTTGTTGATGAAGAGGGAAATGTGGGATTTGGTAGACTACGTAAACTTTTAGATCATGGATTGTCTTGAAGACCGTTCCAGTGATGGCGACGTCGGATTTTTGTGCTTGGTATAAAAAGCTAGCAAGATGATGTTGAAGAAAAGGACTACCGGTGATTTCCTATCAGCCTTGCCAGTAATGGCAGGAAAGATCAGAGGAGTGAATATTTGATGAAATAATCACAGTACTATTGATGCAGTCTATTGTACCGCGAATGAGTTGAAACTTAAACTTAACCTCAAAGTTGAGATGACGAGTGATGATTATGGAGATTGCATTCACCAAGTGAATAATCGATCTAAAACTCCACCTCCCATACTAACAATCGCTTCCAGTGTACCTCCAAACTGTGGTTTTGAGGTAAACGACGCAGAAGAACCCTGGAACTACTCTCAAAAATTCGACTACATCCACGGCCGAGCCATGGTCTGTTGTTTCAGCGATCCCGCCGGCGTAATAAATTCAGCCTTCGAATCCCTTCGTCCCAGCGGCTACTTTGAGATGCAAGACCCGCAAATGCCCATGGTCAGCATTGACTCTTCGATCAACGGCACCGCTCTTGAAGAATGGGTTCGAGTATCATGTCTCGCCGCCGAGCGTCGCGGGCGTAAAGTAACAAATTCAAGACACTACGGAAGATGGATGGCCGAGGCGGGATTCGTGGATATTTTTGAGAAACATTTTTTTGGCCGTATAATCCGTGGGTCGGAGGTGAGAAGGAAAGGTTTCTGGCAATGTGGACGCAGCAGAATTTGTTGGATGGTATTCGAGGGATGACGATGAGGAATCTGACGGCGGGTTTGTGGTGGACTCCTGAACAGGTAGAAAGTTTGTTGGTGGGTGTTAGGAAGGATCTCCAAAATAAGAGGATTAATTCTGCTGTTGATGTGTGAGTTTTGGAGAGTCGTTATGTATTTTGGGAAGAATAGGGGCTAACAAAATTCAGGGTTGTCTTTTTTGGAAGGAAACCGGGACTGGTGCAGCTGGAAAACGGGGATGATTCAGGTTGATTCTTTCGGTATCAGCGATGCGTGATTTTGCATGGCGAAGCTTCGGAGTGTGGATATTTCTAGTGTACATATATTCTATGTTACTAAATTATCATCTTGGGTTAGCTGTACAGGTGAGATCAATGGCAAACATTTATGTATTTTAAACGCTCCAAACATATCTGAGAACGCTGTTTGTGAAATTGAGATGACCGTGAGACGGCATAAAAATCGTCAGAAGGTATGATTGAGAGTTTGCGCCGAGAATGTCATGCATTCCAGCTGGACAACTAGAGCTTTTTGTTCGCGAACCATTCCTACAAATATAATATTGAAACCTCCTATGGTTCTCTATCACACCATTCTAGTCCACCTTGGAAAGAGTGTACTAGACAGAATAGATTGGTGCTCTCAAAGCAGAGTGAAAGTAGCGAGTGCTACAAAATTCATATTTATCTCTATACATGCTGTCTAATCTATGACATCTGTTCTATGATGTCATTCTATTGTGGTAAGATGTATATAAAGCAGCAAATAAGGAAGAAATCAAACACGATGATTCTTGCAGAGGATATCTATGATATATATGTATATTTCCCCCAAAGCAGTTTTTCCCATCTAACTCATTCCCATTCTATGAATTGCAACAAAAAATACAAAAAACTCAAACAGAACTCGGTCTCGATCTAGAAGTACAAACAAAAACAAGAACAAAGGAAAATCTATGCAAAAAGCCTTCTGCCAAAATCTAAAAGAATCCGAATACTGAACTACAGTACCAGATATTCCGAACAAATCTTTCCATCGGTATCAAGATATTATCCCAAACTCCCAAATCTAGAATGCGAACCGCTTAGTGAACAGGGTTAGGGAGAACACAAGGTGTAACCGGAGCAGCCCATCCCAAAAGTCTGTTTGCAACATCGCTCGCATAACAGCTGGTACCCCAAAGTGGCGCGCCAAGATCAGTTCCCTTGACATATGTACCAGAGTTATAGATTCGAGCCGCGGCATAGGCACCTTGAGCCGTCTTTGGAGATCCGCTCTGGGTCAAGCATTGTTGCAATCCGTCGCCACCGCCCACGACACCATAGGTACCGACTGTTCCATCTTTAACCATGCCGGTGATGGTGACAGCTGGGCATGGGCTGATTGGGTTGCCGTTCATGTTGCAGCTGTGTGCGCCGTTGTGGTCTTGCATGAGTCCGGGGTTGAAAACCTGTCCGGCTGTGGAGGGAGCCCGAACACAGCCTCCGGATTCTTGCATGACGATTGCGAGGATGAAGCGGGAGTCGACTCCGGAAGATGCGGCAACGGATGTAATGGCCGACTTGATGTTGGCTATTTCAGCGGGAGAGTTGTTGGCAGCACCGCCAAATTGCTTGCAGGAGATAGTCATGACGGATTGGGAGTTGGCCCACCTAGAATTTTATATTAGTATGAAGTAATTAGTTTCACGGGTAAATAAGAGAACATACATGGTTTCAAAGGTAGTCCATGCGGAAATAGCAGGCCAGTGAGATCCATCACCGGTGAACATCTTGTAAGCGACGGCTCGCTCGAGAAGGTTCTCAGCTGTGGGTTCTGCAACAGGAGTTGGAGCTGCAAAGGAGACCGATGCCATGGCAAGGAGGGTGATGAAAGCTTTGGAGAACATATTGAATGATGGGTATATACTGGAAATGTTCTAGAAGAAGTCCGTAAAGGTCTGGAAAGATTGTTGGAAGAAGAGAATGTTTATATAAAAAGAGTGTATGTGGTAAGTTGGTTACAAAGGAATGTGAATAAAGAGACTGAAAAAAGATGTTTGAATGTTGATGAGAATAGAATGATGTTGAAATGATGGACTATTGAGAGCTCTATATACATCTTGAGAGATTTGAAGGAAGGTCAATGAAATGAGACTTCTCATCATGGATATAGAGGAATATGAAAACATTCTTCATGACAGTACTCAAATCTATTGATGTCGACGAATTAGCCCATGACACTGAGCATTGCTCGCGCAGAAAAGGCACTGTATGGGATGAAACAGCTCAAAATATGATAAGGCTTAGCTCAGGCACAGGAAATCAGGTACATCTAAAGAAAGCATCTGGAGTTGAACCCCGAACAATAATCCTTTGATCATAATGTCGAATCTTTTCGATCCTCAAGGGGCACCAAGAAATTTATCCCATTGTGCTATTTAAAAACTACCACTTTTAGCGGAATGATTTGTTCTTGAAGACTATTCGAGCTAAGTGACTTCAAAATCGCCAAGCCAAAATATTGAAAGATGTTGTTGAAAGAACGAGGATTATCCGAAAATTCATACAACAAAGAAACACTAAAAGCTTAAAGAATTGTTCCTCGAACTCTCCGATGCTAGTATCTATGCGGAGAAATAACACCGCCGTAGCCCAATTTTCCCTTGTGTCATAAACAACATTGCGCAATTACAGCAGTCAGCTGTCTTCACGTGTTTTTGCTCCTAGTGCTCTAAGCTTAATTTGCTCGTCGCGATCCTCAAACAAGGGATCAGAAGTTTTCGTTGAATCAACCATGATAAGACGCCACACTCATATGTGCCAAGAACTGCGGAATGAAATTCAAGTGGTTCGCTTTGCTACTTTTACTAAGCGAGAAAGGGGAAGGATTCAAGGTGACATTCACCGAGGACTAGTGAAATTATAAGTCTGGGAATTGAAGGAAATTTTGTCAGCCATGAAGAAAAAGGATGATTATGGAGCCGAGAATAGATTTAAAGTTCTTATATCTCCGAAGTGTTGAGATGCGGGGATGTGGTGATGTTTTGTTTGAGTTGTAGCCGCATTGAAAGTGGTTAGCAGAAAGTTTCACGTTGACGTAATAATAAGGCTGAGTGCTACCAACTAGGATACATATAAATAGGAGGGATGAAATGTATCGTGAGTTGGATATATCGTAGCATTTGACTTTCTCGTGACAATCTTATAAATGACACGACTTTTGTACGTTGTACTGGGAAATTGGAAGGAAGGAACAAAAATACTGATTTATCAAGCTCCTTCTCAACGAAATTATCAGGTCGATGTGGACGAGATCAGTAGTGTCACAGCATTTTAAAATCACATTTATTTAGCTAAAAAAATTTGGTGCTAGGAACTTGAATAGAAAGGCTGAAATCGATCGCAGAATTTGCAGTCGACATTCACGGAGCAATCCCTTCGTGTATGTGTAAATCACATAATACGATATCACTGCCTGAAGTGCCTTCATGTTTCCGACGATAATATTTTCGACGAGATATTAGATGACTATATTTCCAAGAGATTGAAATGTGTTTATGAACAATTAAGAATATTGATCACTCGATCTCTGTAATTATTTCAAAACGCGGATGACTTGCTTCTCGAGCATGAATGGAGATTAGAAGCGAGAGGAGATGTTTAGATATAAGCGTGAATTGATATGTAAGTAATGACTTTTTTCTATGTTGATATCCCCTTTCAACAAACTTAATAAAATTGATAATAAATGTTCGCGGAGAGCTTAAAAGATATGTTTCCCCCAGATGTGATGCGACCAGATAAAGCCCACTCAATGATATGTATCCAGCCCCAAACGCAATCATACTCTACGCTGATACATAGATAGATAAGTAGAATAAATGTTACCGGTCGCCGATCCGTAAAAAAATGAGATTCAACAAAAGAAGCGCTACGATATGAATGTGTTCGAAATAAAGCTAGCCAAAAAGCAGCATCACTTTGTAAAATTCGAGGCGTTTTGGCTGGCAGAAGTAGCGGCAATTTCCTCTCCACTACCTATATTTCCTCAGAGATATCCTTGACTTCTTGCTCTCAAAATTGCGAGAAATCCTTGCAGTTGCTCGAGAGGTGCAGTGAAATATTCGATAACTTCATCCAAGCTCAATGTCTCCACTTTGATAACGAGAGCCGTCTCGAAGCCCAGTGACGTTACCTTGGCCTCCATCTTGGCTTGTCTTAGTTCTTCGTGCGCGAGAGCTAACGGGATTACGAATTATTGGTACCAAGCTTCTTCATCACGCCCTGTGTAATCTCTCCATTGATCAATGAAGCCCCAGCTGAACGTTGTAATGATCGCAATCGCTGGAAGACAGTATGGCACTAGGTATTCTTCATTGTGATCGGAGCACTTGACCTTAGGTTACATCGTAGTAAGCCCTTTCATCCTTCAATCTTAAGACTGGATACCCTGCAGCTTGTGTCGCATAGACATTGATGATATCGACCTTCGTGTCGAGTATTTTTGAAGGGCATCGTCTTCGAAATCGGCGGAGACACCACCACCTGGTAAGCTGGCTTATGTTACTGGTGCACGAAATGAATGGTGTCTTCTTGCGGCTACCCCAGTTCACATGTCTCTCTATCCAATATCGGCGTCTTGAGTATGTATTGAGAGGCAAAGAAGAGCCAGACAACATGCCGACCGCATTGTCTCTTGTTCTGGATACACTTGATCCATCATACAGACGTATACGGATCCATGGAAGAATAGGGTTGGGATTGGTGCTGTTTGATCTGGCGAGTTTCTTCGAATCTGCTATAGCCCAAGCGTGAACATCTTCTGGACGAGATCCCACAGAACTGGGTGACGATTTGCCACCAAAGAGACTGAGTACTTGCGCAGCGTTTTCTGGGTGATAAACTTCGTTCTTGTGATTGTAGTATTCTTGACGTCTCTTCTCGGCCTCACGAGGAGAAAGTGTGCGGCCATTTCTCTTTCTCAAGGATTATATGATTTTATCAATTTCTTGGGGAGAAAGCTTGGCCTGGGTGGAGCGTCTGAGAAGGAGGTATTTCTTCACGGAAGTTGCGTGTTTGGGCCTCTTGAGTTGAGACTGGGCTTCAATGGTGGCATCTTGACGGCCATTACCATCCAGCTCCACTGGGCCTCCCTCGTCGGAGTCACCAGAGGCATCTGATTCACCAGGGATATCGAGACCTCCCCCATCTCTTCCTGGAGAATGAGAATCGCTGGCAATATCAGCTACAATCGTTTCTGCATGTGCTATCAGCTATCAGTTTGTGAAAGCATTGAACCCGGGGCTTACCTTCAACACCAGATCCATCAAGGACAGTGGGACCGTCCAACACACCACGATGCCCACTGCCCTTTGTCGCAGCTGGAACGCTTAAGTCATCATGATGGTCTGCCATTCTTGTAGATTTTATCACAAGAACCTAGATATGATAGTAAGGCTGAAATAGGGGAAATCCGCGATCCGGTCAAACTTAAAATGATCGGATATCTGGTAATTTCTGCACAAGGAACTCCGTGTTCAGTTTCAGTAAGGGATTTGCAAGATGTATATTGATATCGTGAGATGATCTGGTGAGCTCCAAATGGAAATTTGAGAACCCGTATGCCGAGCAATGATAATGGGTCTGCGATTGTTGAAAGGAAGGGTTTTGTCTGCAGAACAGGAGATCTGTGACAGTGCTGTCTGCAATTTTTGAGATACGATTGTGTCTTTCGAGTCTCGCCTTTCAGTGGCTGATATTGTGGAATTGAGGAGTCTTACAGATAAAAGATAATAACGAATAGACAAGTGATGCTTTGTTTTGCCAAACAAAGATAGAAAGCTGCTAAACAATAGATCGGACTCTTGGTCGAGGTTCAAGACCGAACCACAAACCGTTGAAGTGCTGGAGTTTAAGACTTAGCTATGCCTTCGAGTAGCTGCATCAGCCTGAGAAGAACGAATTGAGTCCAGAGAGTATTGGATAAGTAGTTGTCGTTATTGATGAGGATCAATACTCCCAATGGAGAGAAGGTTTTAAAGAAGAAGAAAAATCTAGTGGGAAGAAGGGCGACGGCGAGGGTATAAGTAAATCAAGTCTCTAAACGTGTAGTGAATATCCATTGGATCGAGCACTAGGCTCGAATCCAAATAGGGAGGAGCCTACGATAAGATATATTCGTTTTATTTCAAAGGTGGGAAAGGAGAGTCGGGATGAGAGATACCCATCAGACAACAGTTCTGACAGTTCTTGCGTCCAGTCTTTGATGCGACCGACGTCGTCGCCACATGAAGCACCATAACCACAGCATCAGGCTTATATGTATAAACCTGAGTACCCGAACTTGAAGACTTGCTGAGATCCATCTAAGATTGAGAAGTATGAGTTTCTTCAAGCAATGAAGCTTTCAAGCATTCCGCCGCAACAACACCCAAGTAGCTTTCCGCACCTCAGTTCGAATCACAGGAGCAAATCTCGATTGCTCGTACTCAGAGCTTAAGATGTACCTAAGGCAGATGCATTAAAAACATATAGGTAGACTTCATACGAGGCATGCTTTCCATATATATGCCATGTTGCAGTTGTCCTTTTCTTAGTTGCTTCAGGGAATGGCCTCATGTTTTCGGGAAGACATCGCAATTGTAATCGTATGGCCAAAAAATCACCATAACCATTCCAACAAAAATGCTGCAGAGAATTCCTTGAGATTAAGCACATCAATCCACTCGAATTGATAACTGCCATCGCAAGCAAAAACACTTTTTGATGAAGTCAAGTTAGCACCCCTAACCCTTGCCCCGACAAAACGATAAAGCGCTCCCTAGCGTTCGGAACATCAATCACTCCGCCAAACCAAAAAGTAACTCGTATATTACCAAAAGACAACCTTTCCTCTATTTTCCCACAAACATACACACACACACACACAATGATTCTGCGATATATATTACAATTATAACGTTGCAACCCTCAAGATGGTCGTCAATCGCGATGGTAAATTTCTTTTTCCATTTTCCTCATATGTGACGTCCTAACAAATCTCCCTAGTTTCGTCCTGGTCTACATCTCATCTCTTGGCCGAATTAGCACGACGACAACAACAACAACAACAACAACAACAACAAGATGAACCTGGAGTTCCAGAGAAACCAGTGTGTGGTTCGGGGGTTAAAGGCAGTTACAATACATCCACACATGTATATGCGCTTGTGCTAATACTTGTACTGAGTACAATCAGTATGCCACATGTACCCTTTCCCATTTGTGCCAACTAACATGTTCCCGCACAGCATGTGGATTTCCCCTGCTTTCTCGCCGTTCCTCGAAATCCGAAGGCCCGAATCGGTTTATATTTCTCTCTCAACATTTTGGAACTGGTGTTCTCATAGCTACAGCATTCGTGCATCTATTACCAACAGCTTTCATGTCCTTGACGGATCCATGTCTGCCCTATTTTTTCAGCGATGCATATCATCCTCTAGCAGGACTTATTGCAATGTTCAGTGCACTGATTGTTGTAGGGCTCGAGATGTTTTTAACGACGAGAGGGGCAGGCCATTCACATTCACATGGAGGGAATTGGGACGTTGTGCCCGGAGGGGAGAATGAAGGAGCACAGGGAAACGGGAGCGCAAAGAAAAAGGGGAAGCAAGCGAATGGCAGATTAGGAAAGATGGGTCTAAATCGTCGGCCGCAAGATATAGCCTTGGAAGATATGGGAGAATCCGAAGGTCTCGTGGCAGGAGTCTCGCCGCTCCCAGTTTCAACACCTCAAACTGGACCCACCGAGAGTTCCGAGCGCAAGAAATATCAAGACGTCAATATTTCAGATGACGAGTCTGATCTGGATCTCGAACTCGATGAGCTAGATGACCCCCTCACAAAAGCTCCTACGCATTCCCCACACGACCCAGAGACCAGCTCTTCTTCCCCAGTCTCGGCAGAAGATTCCCAGAAACGACAAATATTGCAATGTCTCCTCCTCGAAGCAGGTATCCTCTTCCACTCTATCTTCATCGGCATGGCCATCTCTGTAGCCACTGGCCCTCCATTCGTTGTATTTCTAGTCGCAATCGCCTTCCACCAGTCCTTTGAAGGACTTGCCCTTGGGTCTCGCATCGCCGCTATAAATTTCCCCTCCTCCTCTCCTCGTCCCTGGCTCATGGTTCTCGCATACGGAACTACGACGCCCATTGGTCAGGCTATTGGCCTCATTGTACATAATCTGTATGATCCGCATTCAGCGGCTGGTCTGTTGATGGTGGGTTTCATGAATGCTATTAGCAGTGGATTATTGTTATTTGCGGGATTGGTACAATTATTGGCCGAGGACTTCTTGAGTGATAAGAGTTATGGTATTCTCAAGGGAAGGAGAAGGTGGGAAGCTTTTGTGGCAGTTCTGGGCGGGAGTTGTTTAATGGCGTTGGTAGGGGCATGGGCATAGAAAATGGATAGATGTGTATCCATAAAAAATAGTTGTGAATTATTTCCTTACTACTGTATCATAATTTGCATATCCTGTGTTTGAATTGGGCGCTATTTGGGTAGGAAGGACTGCATTGAGCGATGGGCACGGCAAGGAGTGCAGGTTTTGGGATAGATATAAACTCGCAGCAGGTTCATCAACATAGCACAGTGTCGGACAATACATACTGTACCCGAATCATCTGGAGCTTGACTGTTGGCTTCCACATCCGTTCTGTGACTCAGTTTTTCGATGAGATAGTTTCTGTAGAGGAATTTGCGGCCAGTTAACATATTTTCAATCAAGTTGTTTCTCAAACAGCGATAATCCGTTGAAACAGTTTGGTGGAGCTGTATGAGGGTAAATCTTGGATTCTGGAAACTGCATTGTTGTCGATATCCCGTTTTAGGCTTCTTGAACCTATATGGCACTTGCTCATTCCCCAAACTCTCTCCTCTCGAGCTTCATCCTGTAGTCCGTCCAGCTTGAACCGCGTGTCGACCGAGTGTCAACCAAATTTTTCTTCCACTCCAACCATAATCATAAGCACATCACAAATTCGTCCAAATCTCGCAGCATTGGTAGGAAGCTGAATCAATTTTTCATAATCGACCGGCAAGTCTTAGTGTATGTAAGTGAAGTAGGCCTAACGCAATGATGCAACGCCCTTCCATTCATCCATGACTTCCATCCATTTGACATTGTGAACCCCGAAAAAAGAACAGCCCTCTTTACATGACGACACCAGAGTTAGAGGCAATACGCTGGAGAAACTGAGTTAGTCGCTGGCTTTCACATAAAAAGACGCAGAATGTTGGAACTTACTGGCCATAACTCAGCAGCTTCCTTTCCGACTGGTCCAGTGATGGCGGATCCCTTCATCTCTCCCTTGGGGTTGACAATCTGTAGAAAACCTCGTCAGCAATTGTTCCATCCTCACCACTCAGAATTCGTGATTCGTCCTCCAGAACCAATCCTTCATGTTGTGTTCATCGCCTCGACTTGGGTACTCTATCCGCACCCCTGCCCAAATAAGTGTATGGAAAATTTTCTACTCACAACACCGGCGTTGTCCTCGAAGTACAAGAAAACACCATCAGTTCTCTTCCATGGCTTTGACTGTCTAACGATGACAGCTGGCATAACCTTTTTTCTTAATTCAGGCTTTCCCTTCTTGACAGTGGCCATGACCATATCACCGACACCACCAGCTGGAAGACGGTTGAGACGGGCACCGATACCCTTGACGGAAATGATGTACAAGTTACGGGCACCGGAGTTGTCGCAGCAGTTCATGACGGCTCCGCTATTTTTCTAGTTAGTATTTTGCGCTCCATTGTATTGCGAATTCGAAGAAGGGTAGGTTCGCATAATCAAGAAATATATCGTGGTCGAGTTGTTCGATATCGCAGATTGCGGGGTTTGAAAATCAGAGTGAGAACTCACACTGGGAGACCGAGAGTCATCTTAAGCTTGCCACCAGGGGCTCCACGTCTATTAACACCATCACATTAGTTTTCAATCCTTTGGAATCTCGTTCTTCTGCCGCATAGCCTCAATAATCCAGTGCCATCCTCAAAATCAAGCTTCAATTCTCCCAATTTCTTATTCTTCAGACGTTTCCCCCTCATCAAAGTTTCGGCGCATTCCCTCCACAAATTGACTCCACCAGGCCGTAATGATTGTGAAAAAGGCAAACTCACGAAATCTTTGCCATCTCGACGGTATTGCTTTCGGTATGCTGAAAGGGTCGAAAATGTAATTTGTCGAATTAGAGGTTGTCGTCGGTCGGTATTATTTCGAGGTTGAATTACAAAAAATCCATTTGGTAGTGGAAACCCTAACCTGAAATAAGCGAAGAAAAAAGTATGGATCCACTTTACATTATGAATGGCGCAGAATTTCTCCCTCTACCTGATGAGGTCAACAATAGCATAATTCTCAAAACTTATCATTTTTAAAGACTAAATATTTATTATTCTCACCGTCCACAGTTATGAACTTTTTGACATTCACGACCAAATACAAATTGTTTGCTCCAAAACCGCCAAGATATCACTTTGATCACTGTTTCATTGGCAATTGATGAATATTTCATAGCTTCTTTAATTACAGTCAAATATATTGAACTCCCTTTCAATCCTAAGACCAAAGTATTGGTATACTCCCCATGTGGAGTTAGTTGGGTCCGGGGAAATGGAGACAGCGTGAGCTGAAAGGATCCCTTCTCTGTAAAGTATCATAGTCTGCGAGAATTCCACGCCCTTGTGAAATTCCCGATCTCGTTCGCCATGTACGCCCTGCTCAGTTTACCATCCCTCCTACATATGACTGAAGAATTACAAAAGAAAATTATGCGAAAATTTAAGACCGAATGTCAGACTCAAAGTTCGTCAAGATTAGTACCGCTCTGGAGGATATCATACAACGCGAGTTTCAGACGCGTCCGTTGTTGTATATATTAATTCATCGGACTGCCGTTCGCCTTAAATTGTGTTTGTATCCCAACGTAGAGAGTTTTCTGCCCAGAAGAGCATGGAGCAAAATGTTACATTCTGAAGCCGTTTGGAATCCAATAACCCCATAATTTAGAAAGCACACGTAATTGGAACGATATCAGTGTCCTTCAATTTGCTCATGATTGAGTCTGCTCGGCAATCTCCTTACTTGCTTCTGCTGTCACATTTGCATCTTGTCGTTCAGTATCGCTTTCTTGCTTTAGTATAACAGGGTCTGCTTTAGGGATGGCTGTTTCAGGCTCGATTTGCTCGATTTGCTCGCTACTAACGGTAGCTTCAATATCCGTGGCGATATTGGCTTTGGGGGGGTCTTTGGCTGAGGCTGTTGGGGGCGCAGGTGATTTTTCGGCTTTTTCATGAACCGATGCTAAGGTCGTGGCTTCGAGCGGTTCTGCCATATCAATATCACCTTCGTCATCAACAATTGGCTTGGGCGAGTTTGAGCGAGATGGGGCATTTGATGGGCCTGCTTCAAGAGTTTCGGTAACTGCCACATCTTGAGTCTTCTGCTCCATGAGCTCTGCATTGATTTTTGCGTTCGCTTCGGTGACAGCTGTTGGTGCATCTTCAATCTCGTCGTGGACATCGATTTCGGGAGTGGGAACACCACTGTCCATATCAACATCGGAGTAAGTGTGGTTGCGCTGTTTCACGTGTCCATTCTGAGCAAATGCTCCATTTGCAAGATTCGCTTCTTCTTCATCGGCTTCATCGAACTCATCATCCCGGGCCACATGCTTATCGTTTCGGTGCTCAGTATGACGAACATCCATGTTCTCGTCCTCATCGGCATCAGCCATAATGTCATCATCTTCGTCCGTTGCTCCAGTCAACGTAGTACGGGGTACATCTTGCATTTGTACAGATGGGGCATGAGCAGTTCTCTTCAGATTCTCGATGACTTGGATTTTAATCTTTTCGAGATAATCCTTAGAATTAGCGTTCTCCATATTAGAGGCTCGAACATCAAGTTCGTAATCAGGGCCGTAATACTAAATGCATTGGTCAATACTAGAATATTTTCAAAATGATCTAACAGAAAACATACCTCGTAGTACTCGTTGTAAGGAAGTACTGGATCCATTTCCTTGCCAACTAGAACACCGGTCTCAAATGCCCAAGTCCGTGCGACATTACGCATAGTATACCCACCTCCTCCCAGCACTAAAGTGGGCTTGTTAAAACTTTTGACAAATTGAACACAATTCGCGTGGCCTCTCATGCTCAAATTGAAACATCCCAAGCGATCACCTGAGAGACTATCTCCGCCACATTGAAGAACGATCGCTTCTGGTTGGTAGTAATCCATCACACTCTGGATAACAGGTTCAAAGATGGATTTATAGGTGACATCGTCGATGCCGTCACGAAGTGGGAAATTTACTGCGTAGTTCTTGCCTTGTCCAACTCCAATATCTCGTAGTTCACCAGTCCCAGGGAAATATTCGCCATATTTGTGGAATGAAACTGTCATCACTCTATCTGTCGTATAGAAGGCTTCCTCGACACCATCACCGTGATGAACATCGATATCAATATAGAGAACCCGCTTCTTGAAGCGCAAGAGCTCGATTATGCCGAGAACGATATCTGAAATCAAATCAGCACGAGATCATGAGTTTGGAGAAGGAAGTTCCTACCATTGACATAGCAGAAGCCACTTGCTTCACTTTTCTTTGCGTGATGTAGCCCTCCGGCCCAATTGATAGCAATATCGCACTTTGAACGATTTAGACGGGCTGCACCCTCCATACTACCACCAGCGCTGATTCCACAGAACTCAAATAGTCCATCGAAGACAGGGCAATCATCTCCGACGTTGTATTTTCCTTGTTCCTTAGCAAAAGAATCCATGTTGTCGGGAGTGACTCTCTGAAGAAAGTCAATATATTCATCGGTATGGAATTGGGTCATTTCGTGCCGGGTTGCTGGTTTTGCTCGCTATTAAGCACAATCAGTATTAAATTTGAGCGACGTCTACCTGAATCATTTGATGCTCGCCCTTGTATTTGCATTCGCAAATGGGGTAAGTGATGGCATAGCAATCTTGAAGAAGGGCGTTCTCGATCACGACTCACATAAATCTCCATTTTCTGGTAAACTCCATAATTCATAATCAAACTATGCGCCAAACGTATTCTATGAGGCTTCATAGGATGTCCTGCAACATAAGCATAGTTTCCGACATCTGAATCGTAAAAGTATGCGACCCTCTTTTTGGTGCTTGGCCCATTCGACACCGGATCTAAAGGCGCGAAGGAATTCGACATATTGGACGGGTTTATGATTGTAGCCACTAAGAAGTAACTCAAAGTGTAGGATAAATCGGATAGTTGATAATCGTTGTAGAATTGTGCAAAACGTTGGGTTAGATTTACATACAGAGTTGTGGTTGTTGAAGGGCTATCTGAGACGAGGCAGAAAGAATAAATGGGAAAGGTATCCGTGGGAGATAAATAAAAAGGTGAGAGAGAGCTTATGGCAGGGGTCAAGCAATGATGACCGAATGTACTAAAAACACTCTTATCGCTAATTGGATGAGTGCCACTGTCGAGGCTACATCGCAAGGCTGAACAGTCATGTGCTGTTGATTACATAATAGCTCTACCTTGCGAACTTCATGCGCGTTTCTAAGCTGCCTTAAGTTGGAGCTTCACAACACCATTTATAATACTTTGACACTTTTCGTTTTCAACGCCATCATCCAATTTTCTCGAGATACCCTACTTTTGTTTACTCATAGATCGATCAAATAGCAATGGATAGACTAAATCAGTTGTTGGCTAGTGGCGGGCCTATGGCAGGTGGAAGTCCAGGCGGAGGTGTAAGCTATACTATTTCCAAAACCCAGCACGGCGAGCTCGATTATGTCGAGGAATATTATGGAACTAAACTCACATAATTCTTAGGATAACCCAGGTTTGATCGATAACTCCGAAACTGTATATATCTCTTCGTTGGCACTACTCAAGATGTTGCGACATGGCAGAGCTGGTGTACCCATGGAAGTTATGGGTTTAATGTTGGGAGAGTTCGTAGATGACTTCACAGTTCGAGTTGTGGATGTATTCGCTATGCCACAAAGTGGTACAGGTGTCAGTGTCGAGGCAGTAGACCCAGTATTCCAAACAAAAATGATGGATATGTTGAGACAGACAGGACGGTTCGTATGCCTTTGCCTTCTCTACAATCCGGAAGGTTCTAACATAATATCTCGCAGACCGGAAACCGTTGTTGGCTGGTACCATTCGCATCCCGGTTTTGGCTGTTGGCTATCATCCGTCGATATCAACACTCAACAATCATTTGAGCAATTGACACCTCGAGCTGTTGCCGTCGTTGTTGACCCCATTCAATCTGTAAAGGGAAAGGTCGTCATTGATGCTTTCCGTCTCATCAATCCACAATCACTTATGCTCGGCCAAGAACCTCGACAGAGTACATCCAATTTGGGACATCTCAACAAACCTTCTATCCAAGCGCTCATTCACGGTCTCAATAGGCATTACTACAGCATAGGAATCGACTATCGCAAGAATGCCTTAGAAGAGAGTATGTTACTGAATTTACACAAGCATGTATGGACCGAAGGTTTGCAGATGGATGATTTCAGAGTCGAGGGGACTCGCAATACCGAGCGATTACAAAAGCTAGTTGGACTTGCCGAAGGCTATGAGAAGCGTGTCAAGGAAGAGACTGAGATGACAAAAGATCAATTGAAGACTAGATATGTTGGAAAGGTTGATCCAAAGAAGCACTTGGAAGATGTTGGCCAAAAGCTTATCGAAGACAACATTGTTTCGGTTTCGAGACAGATGATTGATAAGGAGGCCTCTGCACCAAAGGAAAAGAACGGAGCAAATGGCCACGCACCACAGGAAATGGATGTTGACGAAGAATTGTAACGATTTCCGTATGATACTGTATAATAGGCGTTTGGCTGCTACTTAGAGCTTAGCATAAAAATCTCTACAATGACATAGTTGGTCTGGAGGTGGAGTTAAATGCAAGCTTGGTCCTGGTCCTCTATTTATTCATTCTTTGCTTTATTGACGAGGTGATACGGTATTTTCCGCAGCATACACTTATGATACTGGGGCAAACTGACATTAGGGAGACATCTTTAATCGGGAAACTGTTTCAATGTCATTCTCTCAATCAAGCAGTCCCGGGAGATATTCTAGTTTTTGACAGACAAATGCTCCTCGAGCGGTCAGCATGCTTGAAACTCAAATTTTAAGACATATCAAGGAAAACGGGGCGGGAGAGTATAATAGATAGTTCTGTTGTGGATAGTGATCGCTCTTACATCGCAAGTATTTTAAATCCGTATTTTCATTACGATATTCTACTTCTTTAATCTAGGTAATCGGTCGGTGGGCAGGAGGCAGGAGCTATGTTTTCTTGATGCACGTTATACAGCGAGTATATCGTTTTCAAGTAGATTATACTCTGCCCTTTCTTTCATGAATTGCCTTCATCCGGGTTGAAATGGTAATTTGTACTGTGGCTCAAGTGTGGTAGACCGAATTCTCGCATTGCCCTAGTTGAATTTAAAGAACTTAATAGGGGGCTTACTCGAAGTCGGAACAGCTTTAGTTGTAGGAATTCCCGAGGGATGGGAGAAATGGTGCTGGTGAGAAGTTGATATAGTTCATGCTTCGGAATAACTGATGCGCAATCAAGACCTCGTACTGTGCAATGGATTTATATTAGGGGAAAGAAGCTCCCGGTCCACTGCTCTATTTATGTTTCGAGTTCTAGAAATTGGGACTTGAGGTTTAGTAAGAACGGCGTTACTAGGTACAACTTAAGATGAGCCGATAGTGCTTGATCCTCGATGTCTGGGTGGGAATGCAATCTTAACGATCGAGGGTCTCTAAAGACACTCGTCCACTAGATTGGTGGTAATGTAAGAAAATGTGAGTCTCAGAATGGGTCGTGTAGTAACCGGCCGGACTCGTCAATTTCACCATACGACTTCGTTTTGTTTCCCAAATTGCAATCAATACCTTCACATTATGAGTATATAATAGAAAACTCATGGAAGTAGACATATCGTTCAAATAACCGATATGATCGTCACCCCCATTCCCATGGGTGTCGTGGCTCAGCGGCAACATCAATGTGCACTTGGAGTGCATCTATCAAGCAAACAATTCCTTTTCGAACCTCGAACCAATACTTCCTTCCGAGGTCATCAAAGCCCCCCGCAATCACCCGAAGTTTACCAGGTGGCGGTTCCGAAATCCTTGCGGAAGTTAAAGTTCCTAGCGATCGCCAAAACGAGGCGAGGTCCCCGCGTGGCGTCGGTTATGCTATACAACCATGCTCAAGTGTGCGGCCATTGAGTGGATAGTGAATCCATTTAAATTCATCATCGTCCCCACTCGCTTGGAATATATCTCTCATGTTTGGCGTGGAGTGACCTTCATCGTCAAATTAAAAGACGGCATGGCACATTGGTGGGCTGGCTGAGAAGTGTTCCAATCTAAATTTAAGCTCAAAAGGCGAGTCGCGGGTAGCGCGTGCTACCTGAATGTCCGATCTGGGTGAGGCAGGGCATAATGGTTCTTGCGAATTGATCTCTCCACATTGCCCTAATAGTCCTTGATTAATGAACCTATGAATATTCAGAAAGTTAGTTCCCAAAGCAACGGAATAAGACATGCATGACATTCAAATCAAGTAGAACTCGTCGGCTCATTGCAAGGAATCAAAGGCAGGGACCGCGGGTCCAATTATCGAAATCGCAGATCATTATGATGCCCGCCGTGCCCGCGTTTTTAATGAGTATGAGAGAAGGATTCAAATTCATTCAAGGCGTATACAAGTCCACGTAGGCATCTCCCGGACACCTTTCCTCGTGTTATTGGTCGATTTTATGTTTGAAGTTACCCAGTCCCTGATCATGGAACTTTCCCTTGTGGTGGTTGGCTTTCATAGCTATCTTAACTTTTTGCTCGGGCCGCATGGTTGAATCAAATTCGTATGAATGTGTATGAATTCACCAATAGAAATTATCGTAGCTGGGACTTGGTACCTGGTTGATTCTCGACATATGATATTCGACAATGTCTTAAGAAGTTGCGTCGCCTGATCATTCCGTACCTCTGCCAACCTAAATTGGTTGACGTATACTAGCCAGTTAATGTTCCTAGGATTCAAAAGCCCGATGCAGAGATTCGATTCAGTAATTGCTAAACGAACTGGTACATTTGTTGCGTGATGATAGCCCCCGATATTCACAAAGCCCTGTCAGCAAAACTTCCGATACCTGGGTAGTGGCAGAGGGAGCTGCTAGGAACTACTATGCTTTGTTTCCATAAATTCACTCCCACATTCGAAATCGGTATTCTGTGGAAGCTCGACCTGGCCCATGAGAAGCCTGGCTGCATGATGACTGCGAGTAAATTGATTGGGGGGCGTAGAGATGAAGTGGAAAACTAACTTGTAAGTACATTCCCTTTGATTCTGATAACACTTCGCGACACCAATAATTGCACAACAACCACTCAATCACCGTCGTCCATGGGAGCACATGCTTATTGCTGTTCACAAAGTGGGCTGCGGACACAGTCAGACTAGGAAATAATTTGTGATCCCTTTCTTAGTGCTACACCGGAAACGTTCTGGGAGTCCCCGGTGGGATGCAAGATATTAGGCTGCGAAAGCAAACTGGAGCCATAATTGAGGTAAGACTAGAATATGATCAGTTGAGAGCCTGATATCTTATGTAAGAGAATCGATTTGTATATTTCGTTGATGTTGGCCCAATTGTGTGAGATGAGATGTCAGGTTCTCCAGCGACCGGAATGCGGATACTTATGTTGTGCGACAGATAGCTAGGTGCTTCGATCTCGGTTAGTGTACGCAAGGATGCTTGGATCGACTTCTGCACATATCAAAATACGGACGAGGAAGCACTGAAGACTGGGATACATTGGTTCTTGACATGCGCAAGCATCTGGGCATCCACACATCATCGAGCACGCAAAGAATCTGCACCAAAGACGCGTAGATGTGGATCATTCCCTGCGGTGATTCTAATCCTAGATCTAGGTGTAGATAAGAATCTGACTGGTATTCCTGGTTTGAGTAAGAGGAACTTCAATGATAGGTTTCTTGCCTATGATGTTAGTCGGATATGTTTGACATCTTTCGCATTTGTAGCGACGATAATTTCCTAGTAGATAGATCTGACTCAACGGCTACCCAGTACGTACGTAAAGTTCGCGAAACCGTGGGTCATTTTCGGGAGACAGTCATACCATTGGTTCGCTGCCGACATCTAGGTACCGCGATGTGAAGTGATAGATTTATGTCCCTTGACAATTACTACCTCAGTAATCTGCTTTGCAGTGCCTGAGGTCAATGATTAGAGCAAATGGCTTCAATTCCGGTTGGATGATATAATAGTACCATAGCGCGATATCATTATCTTCCTTACAGCAAGCTAATGCAGTGTAATGGTGGGCGAGATCGACGCCTAATGGCTCAATAACGTTCCGCACAACGAGCGCGAAGATGAAAAAGCACCAGTACAGATTGAATATCCCGAAATCTTTTCGACAACACATCTTTTTCCTGCATATTGAGGTGATCGCGTGATTGTTAGGGGTGAGTCCGAAGGGGCAACGCATTCGGATGTCACTGTGCCTTGAATGTGACCTGAATGTAAAGAGTAAGGCATGTGACTTCTTCCTTGATCAACGATAGGCAATGTACTCTTCTTCTCTAACCACTTGATATATGTATTTATTATTGTTCGATGTCGGATGAATTCTCGAAAGGGAATCCCCGATATAAGGGGCTGAAGAAGGCGTCTACGAACGGAAACGTGCGTATTGCGAGACTTATCGACGTCATACAGCCCCTATATCCTAGACGCTTTGCATCTAAATCCCTAGTTCAATTACCCTGCTTCTACAATTACTAAAATAAAATTGACAAACCTATGAATTGGGAAGAGGCATTCCTCAAAGTAAAAAAAGCTGTGATCGGGTATACCCTCTTTCTTGTTTAAGTTAGAAACATTGGGAACAATAATATCGGCAGGCCCCCTCCCGCTGCAGGTTCTCCGATGCGGTAGTGATATAAATTATATGATTGGCGTGGAGCAAAAAGGTTGAAGGGATTTGGTGGTAGGGATTGTGGAAGGATCATGGAAAAATCCTATTGTCGTTTCGACCAACTCTTCTAAACCTTTACTTTACGAACTGTGACCTTTTAAGATACATATATCACCCTTTGACGAAAAACGTTCAATGTAATCCAATCAAAATCAATAAGGTATACCTGTAGCGAATCGAATGATCGAGAATACCCGAACAAGAGAGCAGAGCCCAGGGCAGGGCTTTGCAGACTTATGACCAAATAACTACTGCCTTTCGTATTCTTCGGCGATTTGCCTTGTCGATTCAAAGTTTACAGGGCGAGCAGACAGCCAGGATGTAACCTTACCATAGTGCATGTGTCCTACCTACCAAGCAATCCACTCTCAAAAACAAAGGCACAAACCGATAGCCCCTACCTTTGGTCAATGTCAACCTTACTAGATTACTCGGAATTCCGGATACTCGTAATGAGATGAATCAGAGTGGTCGAGGCGTGCACATACCTCAGAGGTATCTAAGGTACCTTGACTTAAAGGCATCTACCGAGGCCGATCACAATCAGACTCGCTACATCATTCCCGAAATAGCAAAGGATCACACGGGAGGGTAGGGCATATCCTCACACACTGAGTTCTTGTTTCAGATGATAGCTGGTCTGATTTCCCGTCTAATGATGATGATGATGATCTGCGACATAAACAGCAACTTGTCTTAGCATATTTGACATTGACATGGGGGACCACTAAGCGAGACTTACCCTGGATTGCTGGCGCATAGGGCGTGTATATTCAAAAGTCAGACAAAAGTATGTTCGGGGAAGCCGGAATGTTGCGACTTTATCTTAGACATTTAAAAGTGGTACGATATGGTCGGGTACGTTTCACAAACTCAAATGCACATTCATTTGCAGTCATTAGAAAATTCCAGCCCTTGCTGACATGTGTTTTCCACATGGTCAGCTTCTCAAACGTCTACTCAGCAATGCATTCACCCGTAGCTGCATGAGCTCAATGTCCTCAAATGCAGGTGGCCGTTAGAGGCGATTGAATCTGCTGATCCATACTCAGATTGTAATTCGGGTCAATTATTAGGGTTGCACCGGATGCCACACGGATTTCATATCCGATCCGAAAAAAGTATGAGGTTGTCGCAACTCCGCACAGCAGTTGTATTTGTATTATCACATCCAGTATTTCATGCTGAAGCGCTTTGATAACCGTTTCAATAGGCTCTATGCTTGGTATGATTGGCACGGACTTTCATGAGGTGATGAGGTTCTCAGAGATCAACCGATTTATTCTCCTTTTGTGACAGATAATCACTCGTCCTAATGCTGTCGAACCTGGACATGCGATATCCAAAAGAAGAATTGCAGTAGACTAAAAGATCACAACAGGCTATTGATTGGTGGGTTGTGGGGTTAGAGCTGAACGCTTGACTACCGGCATCGATGTGATTTGATATCTACTAATAAACCCTACATGCTCAACTTTCGGATTTACTTCTTCATTAGGATTTTTAGTATATACGACGTTAGCTGACAAAGAGCTGATCCGTTCCAAGTTCCAAGACATGGAAGGAGTCTTGCAGCAGACCTGGAACAGATACAGAGACAGCGACCATAGTAACCATAAGGTCTCTCTACCTGTAATAGGACTGGGGGTTCGTTATCGGAAATTAACCCGAAAGACCCGGTAGTGAACCATTTGCCTCATTCACCACTTGTGACCTGAACCATTTCGCAAATTTCGATTGAGTGGTCAAAACGCCCGAACTCAAACTTTAAGCGGAATAGCCGATTCGAAAGCTTAGAGGAAATTTTAACGACAAACGGTTTCTCTCATATGCGATTAGGTATTGTTAACCCCGGCTCAAATGCTTGTCATTTTTGAATGATGAATTTCCCACTGCTCGCCCCTTTTTATCTTTTGTGGCTGATAGCCAAGGCCGTTAAAGCTCAATATATTCCTAGTTCATATTCTTCAAAACCTAGATATATCTCTCAACTCAGCCACATAAAGAAATATCCGAACGATATATTAAAGACAACCCCATTTCACTCCAACATTTTCTTGTGCTTATAGGTACCTTGACCTGCTACCCCTGCCCGGCTTCCAATCTCCTCTGCCGCTACGAGCGGGGAAGTCAGAAGATCTACCGGACGAACGAAAAGGTAAATACAGACTTCCCAAAGTCAATTGCATCTCTTTCAATTAAGCATCTTCACCGCTTCTGTGAACGCTACCCCTACGCTCCAAGATGCCTTCAACCGTCCACCTGATTTCAATTCGATCTGGAATCTATGATTCCAACAATTACGCCATCTGCCGCGAACTGATCCACTACTTGGGTCTTCAAGGTACCCGACACCATGGATATGGTATATGTATCTGTCTACAAGGTTTTGAATAGTCTTGAGGGCCGACCATGCTATTCCTCGTAACATCATCCGAACTATTCTTCCCCCCTCAACCTAACTCCACGTATATGCAAGCCACACCAGTTTCGTCAACCGGTGTTCACATTGATTGGTAGGTGCCTAAGCGGGTAATCATTTTTCTCAATTCTGCTATTTGACCAGGATTTAACATGTTCCGCCCTGTTATTCATCGCTTATTCCTTGATGTGGCATTAAGCAAGAGACTGTTTTGCCTTGTAGGCTTGCCATGCCTGTGTCTTACCGGGAAGTTGCCATCTCCGCTTCTCGTCCATCTGTTGTTCAAGGGCTCTTTGCATATTAATATGGACTTGCCACCCGAAGCTCTATATCCATCGCATCCCCCGATCCTCATAGCTTTTGACACTAACACTTCACAACTACCATCAATCAACGAACAATTTCTTACAGAGCTAAGATGGAGACTCAAACTATCGAGTTCACTGTTGAACAACTTCTCGACTTACATAGATATTGGATTACAGAACTCTTTATCATGGACAAAAAGTCCGAGGAGGAGATTGTCAATCTACTTCATCATCATCAGATAAACGTCACGTGCGTATATCATTTGAATTTTTCTTTTTCTGTTCATTACTAACAGTTTGTTCTTAGTTCGCACACTCTACACTCTTATCTCTTAAATTGGAATCTACTTACTCCACGTTCGTATACCCCAGAAGATTGACTTGCCGTTCCCAGCGCTAATTGGCTCTTGTTTATTCAGGAAAGCGCTGATGATTACTCTATCATGTCTGCAATCAGCTCGCGATCAGTACTCGAGAGTTGCAAACAACAGCCCCCCCCTTATCTTTCCAAAATAGGACCAACTGCGATTATCTCAGGTTATGCAACCATACTCAATATCACCACTACTGCACTCACATTCGAAAATTCTTACCCCATCCCCTTCACTCCATCAAAGTCAGTCTTGGAAGGGTTAGGTGCCATTCACAAGTACTCAACCTGCATCGAATTCTACTCGCTCGATTTTCAAGACTATGATGGGAAACTCGTCGATTCGGCAAGCCCACAAGAGCTATGGAGAACATGAAGGAAAAGACATATCCGCTTGGGAGTTCTATAGCCTTAAGAGAATTCTATACGTCCTGTTACAATGAGGAATGGGGGATTGGGAAAAAGGGCTTTGTTTCGTTTCGTTTTGATTCGTTATTCTTTTATTCATTTTGTTATCTGGTACTATAAAAGGGGACTACGGTAATGGGCCATGGAGTTCTCTTTCATTCGCTGTTTCATCTGCGATTGTTTTCCATGTTATGGCTGGCGACGGGCGACGGGCGATTGGCGATTGCGATGTGTTAATGACTGCAAAAGGCTGGACGATCAGGATGCGAGGGATACAAATGGCTCGTAGATGCCATGGCGATGACAGGAGTACTGCAGTTTGGAGTTTCTTTACATGGTTTATTTTGACAGATCTGGTCGGGTATATGTTGATCGGAGGGATCTCTTCCACGCGTGTCGAAATTATATAGATTGGTATCAATACATTTCTTTCCCGCGCTGTAGCATAGTATGCGATGTTTCTTTTCTTTTGCTATACGATGGATAGGCCGCGCAATATCAGATGGGATTGAACTAGATCAGCACCGTGAAAACTTTAGATCTGTCGTGTAACATTACCATCTACTGGAATCTAGACACCAGTCGCACTGCATACATACTCTACCGCTCTACCCTCCCTCCCATCCTCGCAAGTTTCACGAACATAACAACATAACATATGCATGCAAAATCAAATCTGTGCCTCCATCTGGCTCCCACTCATTTCCACCTCACCAAATTATCTTGTTTCCTCTCTGTCCTCCACTTTTACAAATATGAAGTGATATTTACGAGTAATTCCTTTTCATTGGTACACCCCACTATTCCCCCATCCCACGACAATGGGTATCGTCACATGCATGCACCTGCGCGTATTACAATCACCATGAACCCAAGGCACACGCATCCACGTCATATTCCCCCAAAACAAACTTTATCATCTATTCTCGGAGGTACTCCCGAAGCTATCATAATGAGGCTTCATTAAGAACAGACCTCGATCCATTGATTAAGAGCTATTACCTAGGTAGGTAAGCTATGGTAATTATTTTGTCATAAAAGTGGCTGGAGAAAAGTTTCCGATGAACGTCAACAATAAGGACTCGTTCAGATCGATTTTTTTATTTGTTTGATGAAATCTCTAGTAATAACAAAATAGCAAGGATATTTAACATATTGAAGTTAATAAATATATTTGAATAAAGCTAATATATTTGAAGTAATATTGGGATATATAAAGTTGAATTGAAAATAAAGGAGATATTACTTGTTCTTAACTATATTTGCTTTATAATGTTTTTAAGACTATTACTAATTATTAATATATTTGTTATTTTAAGATTAACATGATTTAATACCGAGTACATTGTATTACCGAGTACACTACTTTAAAATACACCTAAATTAACCTTTTTTCAATATTTGTATTTTAATAACGAATCATTATTCTAATTGAAAAAAATATATATTGAATAATAAGAAAAGATAAGATATTCAGAAATCTAATTTTTATATAAATATTTCTATTATATTTCTAGAAAAGTCGAAATTGTCACGATTTTCGTCATAAAAAAACTATTTTAATAATAACTCTTATTTTAATTCAGATTTTTAAAAAAATAATTCGATTTTCATATTATTTATATAAACAAATGTAATAATTTCTTTAAAAAATCAAATTATATTGATAAATAAAGGAAGTGTACGATTACGCACAGACGTATTTTGTATGTAAAATTCATAATGCACTTAGTAATATAATATACTCGATGTTAAACCACGTTATAAGACTCAATAATATATTTATTTCAATTTTTTTCAAATGACTTCAATTATATATTTAATCTAATATATATTAAGTTCACTATTGTTTTCGATAAACACGATATCAGGCTAATATTTTGAATCTAATGTCGAAGAAAAACCGATCCGAATGTGCCCTAACTTTGCGGGCTAGTAAGAATTGCTTTTGGAGGGAATGATTCTACTACTCTATAGGAAGATGATCATACCCTGGAGAAAAAGAGAAGCCCCACACCCAATCATCCATATCCACTGAAAAATTGAATACATTACCTAGTATCTGTATTTCGACAGTGTATCAATATTAGATGGGAAATCAACACAACTTACTTCAATGAATATAGATAGATCAATAGACTCGAAGACCATGAAACGTGGTATTCAATCACTAGCCCCAAGCTTTGATTGGTTGATTTGACACGGAATCTTGAGAAGTGTTGTGATGTCTTATGTGATGAAGGGGTCGAGTGTGGATAGCCGAGACTGGCCAAGGATTGTGATGGGTTATGTGGAGCAAATGTAAATATTAGCGGCTTGGAATGTTTACACAACATCGAAATGGAGGTGACACACCTTCTTTGGTTTGAACGGTTTATCTCAAAAGCTTCGAAGTGCGCACTTTCTGACGAATTTCTTGCTCTGGCATTCCTATTTAACATTCTTGAGCATCTATGGATTGCAACTTGATACCTGTGCGTGGTCATCAATCGATCAGACTGAGCGATAGACAAAAAGAGTTGCATGATTGAAAGATTATACAACTTGGATCGGTGGCTCACCTACCTATCTTTGAGATGGTGGATGAGATTCACTATAGACGTTGAATGCTCACTGCTTATTGACCCGCAATCAACCAAATTGACTGAGCTAATAATCGTGTGGTGCCCAATTTGGAGTTGTTTCGTTGCATGGGCCCTTGATCATTACATTTTGCGACCTGGCTGCCTTTGAGCTATCCTCTTCCCGGGGAGACAAAAGGTTAACAACCCAAACTTCCATCGGAACGGAAATTTAGTCCGAAGTTTGGTATGGCTGTCCCGAAATTAGCAGACACGTGCACACGCGTGGTAAACATTCATTTGTGAACCTTGTAGGCACGCCCTCGAATCTCAGCGCCAATACTACCTCCAATCAGGGTTCCGAGATCGTGCTAGCATCTTGTTTCTAATGTGTTCTAGAAGCAGTCAGGGCATAGTGATAAGTACGTTTTTTACTGTCATTGGGCATATCATTGATTTAAGCAAATCGTGTACTCATTGGAGTAATAGGTGACTGCATGATATGCATGACAATCGTGAATATGAAACGGAGCAAAATTTGGCTTGCCGGTTTTATGACTTCCTCTATTGTATTCATCTTGAATGGGTGTACGTCTACTGGTACTTTGCTAATAGATGGACCAGGCGGCAATATACCTTTAAGAAGGAATGGAAGACGCAACGAGTATTCAAGTATCTGTATAAATACTTTCCTTTTTCTAGTGTTTAAAATGGTGCGCAAATCAATCCATCTCTTTGACGCATCTTCGAAGTTCACTTTTTAGCACATTCATGTAAGCTGCCGAATGAGAAATATCAAAAGTACTTGATGGCCACCGCTCTGGAACATGAGGGTCGCTCTTCACTCAAACATTGTCCCGGTCGGGCTGAGACAAGGAATTCGGCACAAGATCTAGCGCTCGATTTAAAAGATCTGTCGCAGCAATGTAGAAGCGAAATCACGCATGTTATGTCACTGCTTGACTGAATCGCCAGTCTCGATCAGAAATCATACTCATACATGAACGGAAATCGAGCACCCGCGGTCAATCGATTTCGAAAGGGATCTCTACAAGAAGAAACGCCATTAATGAAAAAGAAGATGGCACGAGTGGAGGAGCTGACCGAAAGCCTCTATCCTCCAACCATGATCAGTGATGCCAAGGAACAACTTTTGAAATTAAGAAAAGTTTGAACTGTACAAGATTGCGAGGTTAAACATGCTTATCAAAGGCTTCAAGATTCTTATCACGCCTCTATGTTAGTTACCTTCAAAAGCCTTAATATGAAAATGCTAATGAATCTAAAAGGAACAATATGGAGAAGATTCTAAAGATTTATAATGCCCACCGCGACTCGATCTCTGTTCACACATTCACGGAAGCAGAGAAGGTGCCATATGAAGTGGACCTTGGACCTTGATACCTCTCAGGCAAAAGGAGGCTTTGGCACTGTCTACAAAGCAGTGAACACAACAAACAACACTGCCTTTGCTGTGAAGATGCTTCAAAAGGTACACTCCTTAAAGAAGCTGAGTATGGTAATGAAAGAGTTGAGACTACTGGCTAGGTGCAGCCATCCAAACCTGCTCACCTTAATGGATGTCTACCAAGTACACAACGACCCCCATACCTATTACCTGGTTACTCAGCCCTGGGCGCCATATACGCTGGAGAGATTTATCCATGATACGGACAATCAGAGACGAAAATCGTGTCCATGGTTCGCATCAAGTTCGGTAATGAAAGAAACGAAGGTACTGATGGTTTAAAAAAGGGCTAGCGGACGGACTTGATTACCTTCATGAACATTCGATAAAGCATAAGGATATAAAGCTAGATAACATCCTGCTTTACGATGACAGTACCAGAGGGATCCGGCCGATAATTGCAGATTTCAGTGTGAGCAAAGTCTTCAGACAAGGTGGAACCACAAACTATTCCAAGAGCACGTATCATTATCTTACGCCCGAACAAGTCAACCACACAGACAGTAGTCTCAAGGCAGATGTCTGGCAGATGGGCTGTTGCTTTGCGTTCTTGTTGGTAATCCTCACTGAAGGATCTCGAGGGTCATGGGAATTATGGGAAAGCTTTAACAACGATGATCCAAACCGCTCCTGCAGAATCTCGACGGAATCCGAACAGTTTATGAAGACTCTACGGCGACTTTGCTGGAAAAGCACATATCCCCAGGAGTATGTACTATGGATAATCACTGGGATGCTAGAGTTACTACCAACGGCACGAATGGATATTCGAGCCGTGAGAGAGGAGTTGTTATAACTTACCTGAGAAAGATTTTGGATAGGTACATGCGCTACGCGGACTTAGTGAGTCCGTACCTTCAATCAATCCCCTATACTTGAGATTTAGGTGATTTATGGAGTAGTCTCTGCGATGGGATGAGCAAGCGCTCTGTATTAATGTCATACAGGTAAGAGTTCGAATTTTCAAAGGAAAAATTATGGTAATGATACGTAACGGATTTGGGAAAAGGGACTGTTCATACAGATGAAGATGACAAAGCGATCGAACTTACTAAAATCTTTCACTGATATATAGATATCCTTTCACATATAATATAAGGCAGCTTTGTATAGGGGGATCCCAATTGTAATAATTTATTTTAAGTTCTTGCGGAAATTCTTCGAGATTCACAGATCATAGGATCGGAGTCCGACTTATCATTCAAATACCTAGCCGAAGCTCATAATTAATATATTTAATACTTCTTTAATTCTCTATAAGCTCCTTTGACAATTCTAATGATTTTACTTGTCTTCGTCCGTATGTGGTTCTATCTGTATTTTTCATGTATCTTTAAAGGAGGCCCTTCTCTGATGGATTATACATACACGCGTTCTGCTGACAGAAACTCTCGAAAGTTTCGGAGACTTCCCAATCAACCATTGTCACCTTCTTGCTTGAAACCTTTAAGGTTTGGACAATACTGCGTTGTGTTTAACGAATGCCTCAGTAACCTTTTGACAAGATCTCCGTATGTAGTAGATACTTTGGGACGGAGCCGTCCTTCTGTGAACCTTTAAACATTCTTGAGGAGCTCATCCTGGAGTAAATGACGACCGAAATTTCAGAGCAATGACGATCTAACAGATTGTCGAGATATAGTAGAAGCAGCAGGAATACAGATGAAGAAATACGATATTCCGAAATATAGGATCATTTGAAATTGGCTGTACTCCCACGCCACTAGTGCGATATCGACATATGAAACTCCGCTATCAGTGTCTAATCCGACTCCATTCCCAATCTAATATACATTCCCTTCTATCCCAATATAAGTACAAGTAGACCAAGATTACCATACCAGTCTTCAAATACCATTTTGATACAATTTCCCACCAGCTTTAACATCAAACTCCGTAGCCTCTTTCAACCCACAACTATCAAAGAGATCTCTCACTGCCACTCCATTACCCTTCGTATTCCCATCCTCCAATAATTCTCTATATGCCTTTCCGACACTCTCAAAAACAGCGCCTAGTGCCAATGTAGGCGTAATAACCAATCTATACCCACATTCCTTTGCTTGCTTAACACTCAACACCGGACTCACACCACCAGGCACACAATTATATAAACAGGGTACCCCCTCTCTTCCAAATTCCTTACAAACCCTCTTCGCTTCCTCTTCATTTCTGACTCCCTCCAAAAACACCACATCTGCTCCCGCATCCACCGCCGCATGCAAGCGCAACGCCGCTTCATCATAACCCTGATCGGCTAATGCATCAGTGCGCGCAATAATCACAATATCTCTTCCCAGCTCCTCGCGCTTGAGGGCCGCTGCCCGAATCCTCGAGACGAATTCGGGGAGCGGAACGAGTTCTTTATTGCGCAGGTGACCGCATCGTTTATTGACGACTTGGTCTTCTATGTGCATGGCGGCTACGCCTGCGGAAATGTACGAAGCGACGGTGCGAGATACCATAAGGGGACCTAGGGATTGTTAATACTACATGTTAGATATTGTAGATACTCGCATCGCTTAATTGAACAAGAGAGGAATCATCTATTTACTAACCTCCATAGCCGGTATCTGCATCTGCGATCAATGGAATGGTAGGGTCGATATTGGCGATCATGGATGCATTATCTCGCATATCATTCATGGTGGCGACGCCTAAATCCGCAATACCAAGGCAAGACATGGTTGTCCCGGCACCTGTCTATTTTCCTCATCGTCAATTACTATTTTGGGAGATGAAATGAGAGTACCGTGGATTGGTCGAGAAATACCATGTATAAAGTTTTGAATCCTGCATTGAGTGCAAGACGCGTTGTGAAGCCATCGTATACGCCTGGACAAACAACAATTTCATTCTCATTAGCTAAAAGAGCTCGAAGTTTGGCGACGGTAGTCATATTGTATTGAGCTTGATTTCGTTTATTGATCATACTTGCAAGAATTCAATTGGCGTTGTTCTTTTAAATGTGCCAAAGCATCATAATCGTAGCAGGGTTGATCACTGTAATTGACATCACCGCCTCCGATCACGGCAGGTAGCTTTACGCGAGTCACGAAAAGGGGAACTGTAAAAGCCGAATCTTTATAGTTAAAATTCGGATTTTGTGTGACATCTTGAACCACAAGATTTGTAATCAAACATCCACTTGGAAGGCACATCAATCGGTTGGCGCGGAACCTCGATTATGATAAATTCGTTCCATATAAGTTGAACCGTGCTGCTCTAGCTATGGGCATTAAAGAACTCCACAGATTTATGTCCCGCCCAAATTCCCGTTCCCGCCCAACATTTCATATACTCCAGTGATATCATAGCCATATTTCTCGTGAACGCCTTCATTGGACAGTTTCATTATCTCATGAACTTTCTTTCATTTTTCCGCAAGTAGAGCAAGTCCACCATTGATTTTCCATTTTGGTGCTGCACCATCGACAAGTCCACATTTGTGGTTGGGGTGGAAGAGGTCTAGCTGCGGCTTTCCTCTGAGAGTTTTGATCAACTTGCTTAGTGATGCTTTCTGGCCTCTCAGTAGTACAGGCATCGCAGCACAAAAAATCAATCGGGTTGTGAAGTGTACATATAGTACATGTCCATCCTGTCAAGGTAGGTGCAGAGTATACTGGTCCTTGTGCTGTTTCATTCTGAGGATCCTTTGGTTTTGGGGGAGATTTTGACTTGTTTGAATTTTCGACAACTAGCCGACTGACATGGCCCAAAGGCTGCCGAGATGTTCCCAAGCCGGTCGATGCCAAAGTCGAAGATGCGGGTCGTCTAGTTGAAGGGTTTTCAGACGTCGACTTGGAATTCTCATCCAATGCCCGCCCCCCAACATTACCACCGCTTATTCCCGCAGGGTTTTGGACAGAAGGAGGAATATAAAGGTCTCCATACTCTTTTTTTTGATCTTCTTGAACAAGCTCCCACATAGCTTGAGCAATTGCTGCGTCGTTAGCTGAATCTTCTTCTGCTACAGTTTTGAATCCATTGTGTGTAGCTTCATCGGCCAAGTCTCTGATCTCGATAGGGTTCATCCTGCTGTCTCCACAACCTTTGAGCACTTTGTTTCTGCGCTCGATCGCATCTACGATAACCTTCCGAATATCGGTACCATATAGCACAGGCCGACCTCCTAGCTTCTGATCCGATCCTTTGAGAGAGTTCTGTCTTTTCTCTGCAGCTATGCGGGCTAGACGTCTTGCTTCGTGTCGTGGTACTCTGCGTCCACCCAAACTCTTTCCTTCTGACAGGAAACCTTCTCCAGTATATCCTTTGTCTATCAAACCTTCATGTTCCTTCCGTAGTTGATCCCATAAAGCATGAAATTCTTGATTGTGAGGTCCGATCTCGTTATGGCATAATTCATGAAGCATTGTATCGACCACCTGTTCCATCGGCAGAAATTGATTTTGATCTCCAGGATATCTCAACCGTAGACATATTTTCTGCCCTCTATTTACATTAAGACCTATTCCCCAAAGTGAGTTCTTTCCCGCTATAAATCGTACGAGTAGATTAGCATACCTAGTAGATTTTGCTGGTCTGGGTAGAATTCTGTTAAAGTACCTACGCGCCAATGGCGTGCTCTCATGATAGGTTTGACTAACGACGCAATTTTCTTAAGAGAATGAAGTGCTTCGGCTTCTCGTTTCATTCCCTTCAGATGAGAGTATGACGATATAAGTGCATCGCGTTCAGTATTAGCAGACATTTTTAGGAACCAGCTAGCAAAACAATGATGAGGGGTCCAAGTATTCCTTTCGTTGTGGAAGAATATGCATAGATCCGTTCAGGACTGCTCTAAGATTGAGAGGGAACGTGCTGTCGTTGTATACATCAAAATAAACGGCCTCAGAAACTACTAGAAGGAAGACTTTATTGGTAATGGAAGGTATCCTGTCGTATCGGAGTTGTGATCAAGCAGCCAAACACAAGGCTGACGCGCCAACATATCGATATGCCCTTGTCCCGCATTTCGATTATGAGAATTTAAGCGGGTCGCTAGATTCCGCTTGTCGATAAGATAAGGCTCACAAGGCTGAAGATAAATGATGCCGGCCGAGCTTTCCTTCCCCACACTTCAAGCAAGTTTCTAGATCAAATATATCAACAAGCCACTTGAGAGAAATTTCATCAGAAAGTTATTTCAAAATGTCTGCAGATGATCAAGTATTCTTTGATACTGTAAGTATCCTGTTTCATTCAAGGTTATAGCTGCTGATAGTATCTTCTGACAGTTGTCCTCCGTACCGAATAATATCAAGAAGTATAGCGATGATGTTGCAGATTATATCGAAAGACATATTGATAAGGTAGCTGCATCAATAAGAGTGTCTCTCGCCTCTGCAGAATGGATCCCCCCATCTGCGCGACCCAAACCACCGCCATCAACTCGGACTATCGCGGCATCTCAATCAGTATATACCCGGATCGAACAATGGGTATCAAAGAACAAGCTCCTCGCAGGAGCTATTATTGTAGTGATGGGTGGAGTGACATATTATGTCATTAGAAAGAAGTCAGACTACCGCAAGAAACGCAGAGCTAGGCGCGCAGCGACTGGAGCAAGACAAGAAGTTGTGGTAATTGCAGGATCCCCTTCAGAACCGATAACTAGGTCGATTTCTCTGGATTTGGAGCGCCGAGGATTCATTGTTTATGTCGTATGCAATACGATAGAGGAAGAAGTCTTAGTACAGAATGAATCTAGGCAAGACATCAAACCTTTGATGATTGATATCGTCGATGTGAGTTTGTAATATTTATCGCCCGAGTCATGTATACTAATATTATTGTAGCCATCAAGTGCTTCTGCTGCAATCGAAAGATTTACCGCACACTTACGAGCACCACATTCCCCCTTTCAAGGTGGTAAAACCCATCACTTGATATTCAGATCTCTGATTCTTATTCCTTCACTTGCTTATCCATCTACTCCGATCGCCACTATATCGGCGTCAACATTATCGGACCTCCTCAATACTCGTCTATTGAACCCCATTCTCACCCTTCAAAACTTTCTTCCTCTTCTCGCGGAGTTACCATTTCAGGGCACTCATAGCAAGAACATTCCAAAGCCTTCCGTTCTCGTCTTGACTCCAAATATTATTCCGTCTCTCTCACCTGCATTTCACGCTCCCGAGTCCTCCACCACATCCTTCCTCAAAACGTTTACCCAAATTCTTACATCCGAGCTTTCCCCTCTTTCCATCCCCGTGATCAACCTACAGCTTGGAACTTTTGATTTCTCTCTCTTTGGACCTAAGAATCAACTTCAATCATACCGGGGCCGCTCTCCTCCTAACTCAGATTGGGATTCGTCATCCCGACACGTATATTCACGCAGTTATGCTGCTGTGAATCGATCAAACATAGGGGCAGCAATGGGTTGTGGATCACAAGGTGGAGGCTACGGAAAAGGCAGTAGTCTCCGAGAGTTAAACAATGCGGTTTTCGACGCGATGGAAAGCAAGAAAGGTGGAATCATCCGAGTGGGTATGGGAAGCAGTGTGTATGGATTCATTGGAGCATGGGTGCCTCGGGGATTGGTAGGGTGGATGATGGGAGTTAAGAAGTTTAAGCCGGAACCCGCAGAGGAAACTCTTCAATCGAGCATACCTGGAAGCTCTAGTACATCTAGCTTTGAGGGCAGACCTTTCACGCCCGATAGTAGCGAGATGAGCGGGGGAGCTGGTTTAGCCGGAAGCGACTACATTTCGATTGCGAGTCAGCAGGGAAATTAGGCCATCGGATATTGACATTTTGAGAAGGTATATAGGACATATTTTGCGATCTAATGGGTGGATTGGATCATGTGTTTGCTTTTAGTTTGCATCGTAGGAATCTCGGATTGAGAAACATGGCGTTTGGGGAATATGGAATCTGGACAGGCGCAAACATCTCCACTTGTAAACATAGTTAAGTTATTTGCACCATAGTTATTGATTTAGTTCTTACAAAGTGGATGAAGAAAGCACACCCCAGTCGAGTATGACAATGATTAAACGATTCTCTAAATACCAATGTTTTCAGGCATTCAGTGTCCATGTGTATTAGATGGGACGGACATTTCGAAGCATGATTTCATTTAGGAGTGCAATTTATCGCCTCCACCGCATGCTCCTCTTCGGTAGTACTGGACTCTACAAATCCAATGCTAGTTCTTAATTCATTGAATATAATTTGCATTGCACTATTGGTAAGTCTAAATTCGGCATGAAACAGGCTTGATATTCGTTATGTCCCATGCCACGCCGTTTCCGTGCCTGGGAATGTCACGATGTTCCAGACCGATATGGTTGAGATAATCATCCCATGTAGGACTACGAATGACAAGAAAGGAATTGATCAACACTATGCGATTGAGAGCTTTTCCATTTTTGGTGATGTTTGCATGATGCAGCTCGCTCCATTGGTCGAATCGCTCAGTACCCTGTTCATAAAGTGGCTGGTAATGTCTAGCTTTTTAGTCGTGTCTCAGCCTTGTTGTGATGAAGACGGCTTTCTTGCATATGTTGCGGGAAGGATGGGGCTTGTCTTGCATGACAGACCCGTTTTCTTTGTTAGTAGCGGTGAGACGGCCAACGAGGTCGATATAATTTTGATGGGTATGGGGTGGGAGGCCTGTGTAACCCACAACGTGCAAGTCGATAGTAATTTGTCCTGGTGGAAAATAGCTCAAGGTCCCGTAATTATAGTCCATCATCAGGGTTCCCCTCATGAGCTGCATGTAAATTGAGTTTTGGTTTCGCATCCTGTATCCTTAATGTCCGCGACCTCGTTGGCCTCTTTCACCTCCACCACCCCTTCCGCGATAGCTAAAACCACCCCTCCATCTCTGTCTAGGTCGTCCTTCTCCAAATCCCCTTTCCCTGTCCGCTTCTCTCTCTGCATTCTCTCTGATTCTCGCTTGTTCTTCGGCAACTTCTTCTGGATCCCTCTCGACCTTGATAGTTGGCTTTGGTAAGTCAGAAGGCCATCTCGGATGAGCCTTTTTACATTTGGGTCCATCTGGACAAAATCCTGCCAAGTAAAATTCGCAGAGAGCTTTGCGAATGTGCTTTTTGGAGCACCTGGGACCCAGCGGACAAAACCCCTTATCGTAATGCGGGCAATTTCCCATTTTTGAAGCAGGATCTACATGTAAATAAAGACACTCATCTAGACTGGTTAGTGTAACTCTTGAAGCATCAGATAGCTACACAAACGTACCTCCATTAGAGCAATACCCGTTCTTTACAAAGAAGTTGCACTCCGGCATCTTCCTCAAATTGAACTCGTGAAGAAACTCGCATGTTTCACCTTTTTTGCAGAGCCCCCTTAGCCAATGTTTGCAAACCATATTGTTGAAATTCCATGAGTTATTGGGATTGGTAGCATGCTTATCAGGGCAATTAGTCCCGAGAGGACAGTGCCCTTGAAGATATGCTTTACACGTCGGCCGATCTGGCGAAATACCCATGCGATAGTTGTTAAACAGAAAAGGTGTGAATGAAAACCTGTATGCTGGGGCTTTGTGATCTAGAATTTGCTGGGCTGTAGAAGCTGAAGCCTGTGCTGCGAAAGCACTAGGTCTCTGTTGTAATATTTCAGCCATATTCGGTATCTTATGGGTCGGCCGAGAACTGGCGTTTTCGTTGCTGATTGAATGATTTCGCAATGTGATCTGCCGGAGGGAGCAAAGCAGATAATCTATGTGGGTGATTGCGAATCTGGTGAAGCTCAATGTACGTGTTGAGCCTTGTTTTATTAGGTAGACAACTAAAATGTGCCTTGGATTTACCTGGATAGTACGATATGTATTGTGACTGAAAGACAAGATTCACATTGTATGGATCGATATCCGAACCTCAACTAGAGTGTGGGTGTACAGAGAGTGATGACTTCAAAGAAACGATCTTGTGATGTCTAGAAAGATTGATTTTTGACAGCCTCGCGTATTAGTAATCATATTTCAGAAGTCATTATTATCATTATTATGGTTAGCGCCAGCCTATTATAACTGAAACTAGGGGTAACATACCACAACATCTCGAGCTGCATGTTAACCCAAATATAAATGAACTCGCAAGGTGGATGGATATTAATAATAATTCCAGCCACAATTCGCGCAATGTTTAGGATCAAATAGGAAATATACTGGGTAACGGGCAATGTAGGTACGCTTTACTCGTGCCCAATAACGAGACATCAAACTTCACTTGAGTGATACCAAGTTTTTGATGCAGCTACTTACTACTCTACCGCACCAACAACAAGTACATCATCCATTTGACACTGGTTGTTGGATTTTCTTGTGCATATTTACCTAAAATCCTAGTCTTTACCGTGCATCTCACAGTACGGAGTACATATTTTCCTACATGCATATCTACCTACAGTTTTGTGCTCACACTACCACTCGCACATCCATTCCGTATATCTTTGGCCCGAAGAGACACTTCTGGTCATGTTCTTGTTACACACATATACTCTAAGGCTTCAAAAATGGATTGAAATAACACAAATCACCACTTGGTCCGATATTCTTGACTAGAGAGAAGAGAGTACCGAGGACAGAGTAAAGAGTATTACAGAAGTACGAGAGTACACGGTAGTGATTACAAGACGTTTTTCGGAATATTGAATAAAGATGCATAATACTACTATACTTCCAAGATATACCAATCTATCAATTCTTCATTACTACAGTAGATAAGTAGTTAGCGAGGTAGGTACCCCCCTAGGGACTCGCATGATTCGGCTAGATACACCTACTGTACTTCAATATGCGTGCCAACTCGGCTCCTTCTGCATCTCAGTTCAAGATAAGGAGAGCGGGACCTACCATTCGGCACTCCAGGTTGTTTTACGGCTGAAGCTATGGCCATTGATCTTTTCTTTTGCCGATCCGATTCACATTTCTTTGCTATGCTGCTCGCATCTTTTGATCTTTTTGGAAAACCCTGTACCGATTCTCAGCCGATATCATGATACTTGCTCAATATACCTGTGAGATATAGAGCTGGAAGTTCGATCACTTTTTTACAGTAATAAGTCTATAGGATTCCTCCGAATGTCCACGGACACACGGAAACTCAGGGAATCATAATAGATTAGCTTGCGATAGCAGACTGGCTCGGCTGGGCAAGCCATTGGGTGTTTGCACTCATTTTCTCAGATACCAGCACCTCACCCAAATACTTGCCAGTTGTCCTTAGAAAACAAAATCTCCACAAAAAAAAAGATCACGAAGATTTTCAACATTTTCTCACGATACTGATCAAGCAAGGATAGGGTTCTTAAGAATTGATGACGGTAAATTTATAAAGATTGGTTACCGATGCCTGAAGGTGCATTGACGCTGCAGAGTTGTGCACATATTGTAAGTAGGCTGGTGATGATACCTAGTAGTTAGATAGTAGCGATAGTAGGTAATATGTATGGAGCTACTAGGTATATCAGGTCAGTAGCTCAGTAGATGAGTTAAGTAGGCTCGCGGGTGACAGGAAAAATGGTATACATAAGTTTATTTCCCTGTTAAAATTTTGATAGGATTTTAGACTATACATTTAGCTTCTAGCTAGCTCATTTGTTATCAATATAAAATTCTAGAATATTCATTATAAGATATTTCGAATGAGAATTTTCTAATAATATGATTTTCATCTTTATTTATTGATTCAATGAAAAATTAATGATTATTGAAAACTAGGCTTATTTCAAGTTTAAATATTATTTATATTTAATTTTTCAATTATTTATTAATGTTAATAAGTTTTTTTTTAGATTATAAACTAATAGAAAGAATGCTCTTTTTTTTAAGTATTTAAATATTAAATTTTCTATTGAAATTAAAGTATTTTTGTAATTTATTAAAGTTATTAGCTTTTTAATAATTTTATATAAACTTGAATATAATATAAGTCTATTAACTTATGATCAAAATTGAAATTCTTTTTAAAAGCTAATAATATTATTGAATTAGTAATCCAAATAAATAATATATTATTCTAAAAATATCTTGATTGGTTGATTTTCTATTGAATTCTAAAAAAGTGAATGTTTCTCTGATAAATTCGTGTGTCACTTTTCCTGTCACCCGCGAGGTAGGGTCGCTATCTTCCATCGATATCATGAGCCATGGCGCATGCAATGCCATGCATGCATGCAGAATCAATGAGCGAGTCAGAACACGAACTTTGCACGTTGATCTTGGTAAATGGAATCTTCAAAACCCACATTGAAGTGGTAAAATAAATTATACATTCATCCGTCCATCACTTGATTTTCTATTTATTTTGTTTTTGACCCCTCTAGTTTCTAAGGGTTTAGCCGATGAGCATTGCATTAGATTGCTGTAACATGGTGGATGCAATGGATACCTAGGTATAGTCGAAAAGCATGTTTAACTCTTAAATCTTGATCCTAATCCTAATTCCGATGCAATAGGTAAATGTATCGAATGATGAATGGTTCAAACTTCAACGAGGGAAAAGGAGAAGATTCCGAATACGGTATCATCGCTTCAATGGCGTGGCAAACGGAATATATATTTTGGATTGATAATGTTACTCAAAATGATATTGGCCGGCGGAGGTTGAGTCGCATTTTTCAAGCTAATAAGTTATTAAACGTTCTCCTCTTTCACGAAAAGCTATTCTCAGCTCGCCGAATGATCTTCCGTCGTTCTTCCGATACTCTTTCTGAGCCTACATCGATACGATACCACTTCCGCTGATTTCCAATGGTGAAGCTACGGAACTGTGAATTTGATTCGATCTGTTTTACGCAACGCCACAGCCACACACACATATTGCTTGTTGGTCTGGTGCAGGTAGTGCAGATCTACCTCTGGGATACTAACCTAAAGATACCTACCCACCTAGGTATATGAGTATATACGGCTCCAGCAGTCATAGATTTGTCTTTAGACTCTTTGCGTATGTATCAAAGGAAGAAGAGAATACATACATACATACCTTTCGGTATACAGCAATCATCCCGTTGGACTTATT